GGGGGGGGGGGATTGGAACTCGACAAGACCAATACCTCGGGTTCGGCCAAATTGTCATCCACGAACCCTCTCGACTACCGTACCAAGGTAGAAGATATCTTGAGATGTATGTGTCGCTGTATGCCTCAGGTACTTACTGTATATATCTGAACGTCTGTCTTCCAAAGGACCTAGGTGATATATCTTCTCTTCTTCAGAATCATACATACTCCGTCTCACAATTTCATAAACACCATCATATACGTATCGTATCATTCAGCTTCAAAGCACAAACTTTTGAAGAAGAAAACAAACCAATCATGTCCACACCCACCAAAACCATCGCCCTGATCTCAGGCGCAAATACAGGTGTAGGTACCGAATCCAATGTTCCCCTATACGCCCCTACCAGGTGTAAAAGTACAACGGTTGATCGCTAGAGAGCACCTGGCTAACAAAAGTCTGTGGCGTGATGAAAACAGATCGGTGAAGCAACAGCGAGAATCCTAGCTCAAGACCACGGCTTCCACGTGCTCATCGGGTCACGGAACCTCGAAGCAGGGCAGAAAGTGGCCGATTCCATCACGTCGCAAGGACACTCTGCGTCGGCGATCCAGCTGGACATCACCTCGGACGCCTCCATCGCCGCGGCAGTCCGGCAGATCGAGCAGGAGCACGGCGGGGTTCTCGACGTGCTGATCAACAACGCAGGCATCCTGATCGACTATCTGCTGCATGGCCGCACGGAACCGTCGTCGTCGTCCGACAAGGACGGAAAAAAAGAAGAAGACTACCCCAGCACGCGAGAAATCTTCACGCGCACAATGCTGACCAACGTCGTCGGCACGGCTTGTCTGACGGACGCGTGCGTGCCGCTGTTGCGCAGGTCAACGCACCCGCGCGTCATCTTCGTCTCGTCGATCATGGGGTCCATCAAGGAGGCCACGGTCAAGTCGAACATGTGGTACCCGATCGACTACAAGGCGTACGACACCAGCAAGGCCGGCGTCAACATGTTGACCGTGCAGTATGCGAGGATCCTAGAGGACGTCGGTGCCTCGGTCAACGCCGTGTGTCCCGGCCTGGTCCGCAGCCAGTTGACCAGGTACTCAATGGGGGACCCTCCCGAGGTGGGAGCGAGGAGGATCGTCGAGTTGGCGATTGCAGAAAAGGGCGGGCCGACTGCTACTTTCACCAACATCCATGGTCCCATTGCGTGGTAAACCTGGTACGTGAGGTACGTACGTAGCTAGTTGTCAAAAAGAACCAAGGGCTCATCCGGAATTCATTCCAAGGCTAGTGGTCCGTACAGTAGGGGGCACAAAAGCTCATACCATACATCCAATCAGGTTGGCCAAAAATCCAGCATTGTCGATTCCCGCATTCCAGCAGTCTAGTTTTCGCGCGCTGGCGGGGTTACTGCAGGCTGAATTCTGCGTGTCAATGAGATCGCCGACAGTAAGTAATCCGTGGTCCATCTGAAGCGTTCGGTTCGCTGCGTATTCCGTCTCCCATGACGTTTGAGACGTTGCTTCCCATATGGACTTTGGCCCCGGGAGTGGCATGTTTCTGGTGCTGCCCGAGGAATCGCAAATACCTCCCGTCTTGACACAAGCAGCACAACCGATGAGGAGCCACAGAATCGTCATGCTAAAGGAGAATTGGAATCAGTTTACGGAAGGCACATGGTGAGGGTCCGGGGGTGAATTGCGACGTCGTGAAACGCACCGTCTTCGAGATTCGGCAAAGACCCAGTCTTCCCAACATAGACTTGGGTTTGCTAGTTCGGTCTCACTCCCGTGTCCGCCAAACATGTCTTTGAATGTGACACAGAAATTCTGGAAACAGTGTCGAGTTAGCTGGTGGCTTCTAGAAACCCGTGAGTGCAGATACAACGACCTACAAATAGTATATGTGTGAGTTCTTGGCCGTACTCGGCATTGACGGATGAGTAGTCCACGATACACATGATTAGGTAAACCATACAGGCTTGCTGCGCCGCTAGACTCTCGAACGCAGACATCTGAGGCATCTGGATCATCAGTCAGTGCTTGCCATGCATTCGAGATTTGCTTCCGAGGACAAACCTCATTTACAAGGCGAGTATATTCCACCCCGATGGTCCGCCAGAGAAAGGGTTTCGTTTCCGGTGTGCTAGACGCCAACATCTGCGCGATACCCATACATGCTGATATCGCGTCAGGTAAGTTCGATTGTCCTGTTAGCGACGAAACACTGGAGTATGGATGAATAAACCAGGGCAGTGTCTCTCTCCGGCGCATCATGACAGGGAAGGCCCGCAATGCTTGGATGACGAGGTCGGCACTTCGTTGCGCTTCAGGCCGTGAATGGCTGGAAACGTTCCGTGCCAGAGGTGTGTCGACGTCTACCGCGAAGGAAAGGCCTCGTTGCGTCCATGTGCACCAGCCAGATGCTTGATTGACGTGGAGCAGCTGGCTTTTCGTCAGTGTCGGCGCAGTTGTCGAACAGCCAGGATGATCCCACAGTAAGTCGTCGAAGAGGGATGAGCCGTCGAAGCTACCAAACGTGTCTTGAAACAAGTATGGCTCTGTGTTGGCTAGCTCAAGAAGAGAATCACCGTTGTCGAGATTGTCGGCCGTGGTATGCCCACTGAAGGGCTTGAGTGCCGCCGTGCAGTGACTGTCCTCAGAACCGGTCAATTCGGTAGCGACGGTTGGGGCGCTGCCTGACCCTGCCCCCTCTATGCTTGGTGATGTCGTAGGGCTGCAGGCTTCTGGACTGTCTATGTGAAACACAGGAGACGACAATGACCCTGCTTTTGGCGTTGACGCTTCGTCGTACACACATGACACGCCCCTCTTCGTACATCGTAGACACGGCTTCTCGAAACTACATTTGACCTTTGAGGTGTTGCACGCCCTGCATGATCGGGGTCGACTTGTTGTACGGCTTCCACAGTAGCGACGGTGCCGATTTCGTGAGGATTCTAGGGGACGAGTCAGACAATGGCGACTTCTCGAAGACGCGAGGAATAGAAGGCATACCCTTGACGAATGGTTTGTCGCAAAGCGGGCAGAAATGTAGTGTAGCCATTTTGCCCAATGCGGTAGGCATCTTGCCTGGTTCGCAAGAGGTCGACCCTACATCCATGTCGCCTACCTCTGACAAGCCATTTCACGGTCCCGAAGAAAATGGAGGACCGAGCAGGATGGAAGCATGAATCAATACGGCGGCGAGATGGATGAAGTCCAGCAATTTGACCGTCGGCCAATTTGGCCGAAATGTGCTTATGTAAGTCACGCATGCTTCGTCGACCTACTCACTGCTCAGTGCTCAGTATCATCCACCAGGAACCATAGTGCTTCGTTCACCTAACAGGGCTATTTATCTATCTTTAGCCTCAGTCACCGCATGTAGCTGCGTCCTCAGACAGTCCTCCGCTTGCGGAATCTATTTCAACCGTACAACCGCAGATCTGACTTGGATGACGTTTTTGAAGGACCATCTAACCTCCAAGTCATGCTTCGTACTCGTAAATCATGCATGATGGTCTTCGTTCAATTCCTGCAGTGTACCTCAAGAGTACAGATATGCTGAGAACGAACAGCCATCAACTCTCACCGGAACCTCGAAATGGTAGACGAATACTTCAGGCAATCTTCTCAATTTTCAGTACTCCGTTCTCCTCCTTTCCATTCTCACCCTCAAGAGCGATGAAATCTCCCTTCTCAAGCCTTCGTATCCACCTCGTAGACTCTCCCCTGGCCAGTATGAATGTGAGCCTTGCACTTGCAGATTCCGTTGCCTTGAACGCCGACCCGGGCAGAGGCGTGTATGTCCAACGTCCAAAAGCCCAGTTCAATACGTAGAGGCTTTGACCTTCGGAATCAACTGAAATGCCTGGTTTTCTCTCTCCGGCAGAATCTGGAGGTGGCTTGGATGATAAGACCAGACCTTTGATGCGATAGACCTCGTCTTTGGGCGCTGACAGTAGCAAATCTTCAAAAGATTCCAGCACCACCCCTTGAGGAGGCTTCGACGTGTCTTTATTGTGCAGGACCACGCTGAGCACCTCGACCTCTTCTTGATGATGACCGTGCGAGTGTCCATGATCATCGCTATGGTCATGGTCGGATTCTTCATTGATCTCGATAGCCCCGCGTAGACCCTGTGCCCGCACCATGGCGCCATCAATCCCCATAATTAATTCCACGTCGACCCAGCCTTTGTCGCTTTTCACCCAGGCAACCTGTACGTCGAGATCACCCACACGGTCAAGGGCTTCATCGAACCTCCGTTCGTCAACATGCTCCCATTTGTTGAACACTATCAAGTCGGTGTACTTTGCTTGCATTTTGGCTGTGTAGCTGGTGTCGTCGTAACCCTTCCAGTTTTCAACATCGATCACGCTGATGACCCCGTCCAAGGAAAATGTCCCCGGGTTCTCTCGTGCCACTCTGTTGACTTCCATTGCAAGAGTCGCCGGAAACGCCGAGCCAGAAGTTTCGATAATGATCCTACTCGGATTCACTGTGTCTCGAAGTTGGAACAGGGCTTCACTGAGTTGACCAACTAGGTTGCAACAGATGCAGCCGTTGAGAAGCTCTCTCACGCCTGATATCGAGGCCGAGCCTGCAAGTTGTGAGTCGACAGCAACGTCTCCAAATTCGTTCTTGAGGAGGGCGAGCTAGGTCTTATCAGTAAGAGTGCTTGTAAACAATTCGCGATCTCGACAAGGTGACTGTTTTGGCTTACCTTGTAGCTCTTGGGCAACTGTGGAATTAAATTCAATATTAACGTCGTCTTTCCTGCTCCCAGGAAGCCGGTTATGATGGTGACTGGAGTCGGAGCCATTGCCGCATAAGTTGATAACCCTGAGTCTATTGGGAATATCCTAGCTAGGAGCTATTGCCAGGGATTAGGAATTGCCGACAGTTTGAGAGTGCCCAGTCTATGGTTGATAAGAATAGAAAACTTCTGATTGAGTACAACGGCTGTCAAAAAACAGACGGGTCTGTTTCTGTGTGTGGAGGTCTAGATTCGCGGGTGTAGTAAGTAATGAACGAATTCTTGCGCGATGCTTTTGATGCTGAACAAATTATAAATTCTGGTGACGTCGGCGTATGTAAAGCAACACGTGATGAAGGCAGCTGTTGTCAACAGCATTTCATCCTGTCTCGGGATGCGTTTGACACGCTGAGAGAATAAACAAAGTCACAGAATGCGTTTTCTAACGCACGGGAAGATATTACGTTAGGTTGCGCTGAACTACGACATCTGGACTTGGTTTCGGGTTATGGTGGAGGTCGATGAAGGAAATCAATGGGGGAAAGTATATTTGAATTGAATCATCCCTGTATAGCAGGGAGAGTAGTGGCTTCTCAAAAATGGTCTGTGTAAAATGGGCAAAAGAGTGTGTGATAACAGCAAAGAAATATCATGGGATACGCAGGTTGGTTGAGACCGAAGCGAGCCATTCAACTGAAACCCCGTACCTAGTCCACCACAGCCCTGTTTCGAGTCGAGCTCGGACGATCAATATCCCAGTAAGGCCGACGCACCAGGCTCGCTAGAGATGTAGATGACTTCGTGGTCATCATTGTATCCATTGAATTTGGTTGCCGAGCATTTTGTGTACGCCCCCATGTTCTCAAAGAACAACCAGTCGCCAATGTTGATGACTCCGGGTAGGAAGTAACGCTCGGCAATAACATCAATCCCGTCGCAGGTAGGTCCCCAGATGGAGTATTCGACCAGTCTATCCTCGTTTGCCGCTGCAGAGAGCATTTGTGGGACTGGGTGTTGATGGTCGAAGATGATGTTTGAGAAGTTGCCGTAAACCCCATCGTTCAAGTAGAGCATGTATGCCTTTTCCCCTTCAACCTCACTGGTCACTTCGCGACGAGCAATGACATTGGCGGCCAGCGTGAAGGCGTTGGACGTATAGTAACGACCGGGTTCTCCAATAACGCGCACATGGGGTGGAAAATGCTCCTCGATGGCTTCATTCAAGTTCTCAGCAAATGTCTCGAAGGTCTCATCAACGAAACCACCGCCAACGTCAAGCATCTTCAAATCGTAACCAAACTCGGTTGCTTCGTCAAAGACATATCGAGCGTCCTTGACCGCCTGCCCAAAGGAATTTGGATCGCTGGCTCCAGAACCAACATGGAAGCTGACTCCGACAATGTTCAAATCGAGCTCTTTCGCCAAAGCGAGTAACTCTTTTGCATCAATCAGACTAGCGCCATACTTGGCACTGAGGCGGCACAAGCTGGTTGAATCGTCGGTCAAGATTCGAAGAACAAGTTCGGCATCGGGGTAACATTCCTTGATCTTTCGGAGTTCATCGGTATTGTCAAAGGTCATCTGGGTGACTCCAACCTTGCGCGCGTGGCGAAGGTATGATTTGGTCTTGCAAGGTTGGGCATAGATGATACGGCTTGGTGCCACGCCAAGACTGAGCACCATGTCAATTTCAGCCCTGGATGCACAATCGAAACCCGCGCCCAATTTTGCCAGAAGGCGGAGCACTTCCCGGTCTGGGTTGCATTTGACCGCTGGTTGGGGTCAGCACTGTTAACGCGGATTGAAGGTAGATGAAACTGACCGTAGAAGGGCTTGACACGGCCTAGATTGAGCTTCCAGCGGAGATGCTGGCGGTAGACTTCACCTAGATCCGCCACGTAGAACGCATCTTCTTCGCCGGGCTCGCAAGTATCAACATTGACACGGTCAATGTGTTCTTGCAGAACTTTCCTAATCAAAGCCTTTGAGGCAAAGCCAGTCACATCGGATTCAACGCCATGATTGTTGTTGGTGTCGAGATAATCGACTTTACTGTCATTCAAAATATTGGTTTCTTTGTGGTCAATGGCAATCGCAGAAGGTGCCATAACCATACACAATCAGTGTTAGGGGGGTTTCCTGGATTCTGCTCCTCTGGGGATCTGGCTTTGCCTCACTGACTCTCCCTCACGAGGAGGAAGAACCTCGAGTGGCGACCTATGCGGCAGCTGAACGGGGGAAGATTGTTGTAGGGGGCTTTCAAACTGAAAAGCAGAAAGCGGAATGGAAATATGGGCGCTCAGCAGGTGGTGGACGAGTGTTGAGAATATGTCGGTGTTTGCAGGATGATGCACTTTGAAAGCGGAGCGCGAACGATGTCGACGCCGTGGTATGGGGTGCCCTTGGAGTGCCAAAGGCGATTGATTAAGCTGCAGAAGGAAAAGCTGTGCCTCAATCAGACACAGTCACGTTGATGTTCGATTCAGACGGAGTTGGCGAGTTGGAATGGTGGTGAAGAGAAGTAATTGCTGTGCTGTCCGATAGAGGATTTTTTATTTTGATTGACGACACTTTGGTGGGGGGCAAAGACCCGGGAGGCAATGCAGCCCCAGCAAAATTCCAAGGCTCGGTGAATCATCTGGCGATCTGAGATGTCAGTGTGAATCAGCGCTAAATCGGCACGGCCATTTGTGGATTGGATTGAGTTTTTGCTCTTTGTTAATTGTCCCGTCTCTCGTCGACTCCGCCGCCGCCTCCTCGATAATTTTTGTGTGTGGGCACGTGACACGCATGTCGGCCACCACGGCGTCCCAAAGATATACACCTTTCCTGCTGACCGCCGTTATCGACAAGGTAGGCGTATTGTGTTGGAAGTATTGGGATCGACTTGGTCTAGGTGACAACAAAGAACAAGACACAATATACGACCAGCTTCAGCCTCGAGTTGTTCATGGTCGATAGACGTAGGTGTAGAACTCGACCGTCGGATGGTTCACATCTTGGTCGGTGACGGTGTGAGGCAATGCGATATTGAGCGTCTCTGTGACTTGAAAGGCGGTGTCTCGCATTCGTTCAAAGAAAATCGTGTCGGCTTCGTGTCGTCGTTTGAATCCCACCAGCACAAGCACATTCGGTGCACGAGTGGCCAACTGCCTCAAAGTCTCTACCAAGTGGACGCTGCTGTCAGGATTGTAGATGCAATCCGAAACCAGGAAGAGATCGTAATTCACATTGGAACTATCGTCAAGGCTCGAAGCCCAATCCAATACCTCTGCACTGATACTAGATCCTGCGAGCGGCGTCGCAGACTGTACATTGCTCGCCAGAATCTCCTGAGCATCTTCCAGGTCGGTAAGGAGCATATCACACTTGACAATCTGAGCAAAAGCAATGCCAACAATGCCACAGCCAGCCCCCAACTCCAGTACTCGTAAACGTCTTACTTTGCTGGACATCAGTAGAGCAGCGAGCTTGGTAGCACCCTGAATCGCTGGCGGACTGAGAGCTTTGGCAAAGTACAGCAAGAAGCCTAGACTAGCATCCCTTGACCTGGTGTTAGTCGATCCGACGTGGGCTGAAGTACTTACCATATATGCCGCGCAATGCTGTCACCTGTTTCCTCCCACATGCATACTCGACTTTTGTTAGGCAAGAGTAGCTGTCGCTCTACAATCGGTTCAGTTCGCTGCCTATCAGCCACGGTGAACGCTGGACTCCAGACATCGAGGACTTCGGGAATCCCTAGCGATGCAATGGTAGACGCTGTCTCTTTGGTCGTGACATGAAGTCGAGCGGACCGTGACATGTACTTTCCAGGGCAATTCACCGTAAATTTGAGGGCTCTTGAAGCAGCCTGCCACTTGATGGTCTGTGTATGAAGCACTCCAAATGGACGATTGGTCTCTATAACCTCCACGACGAGGTCGGCATCGAGGGGATAAAGGGAATCGCCCAAATCGGTGGTGACCGCAACCACAGCAGAAATGCCGACCGTCTTCTTGCCAACTTCAGTCTGCGGTGTGCGCAGAAACCGAATGTAATGGACCATGATCGGGGTCGGGATTCTGTAAAGGAAGAATCAACGGTGAGAAAGATTTTGTGTCGGTCACTTTGGCTCTCTGAGTAACGGCGAGGTCTGAAAGTGAGGCAGCCTATAGGCACACTAGGCTGTCCGCACGGGTGCAGGCCGGCACCGGCAGAATAGTTTTGCCGCTTCCGGGGGCTGGGGCGCCATTACAAGTATTGCTTCAGTGTTCGGCTTCACGATCCCGCATGATTCCCAGACAATAACCACTGATCAGCCGCACCTAGACCGACATTTCTATGTCTAACCACTGCTCTGGTTGCGCGAAATAGCCAGCCACCTATCTGCCCTCCGTACAAGCATGGGAAATGCCATACCGATGCGCATCGAATCAGCGCCTCGATTCAAGTTGTCCTCCTGCGCAACTCTGTGGGAATCCTCGCCCTTCTGCCTCCCAACATGAATAACCCTGAGTTCCGCCAAACGCTTCAGCACATCACCCATAACCTCGAGACCGCCAACCAAACCGCGCAAGAGAACATCTATTCGTTCACTCAACGCTACATTGATCCTTGTTTGTCCGGATTGAAGTCTTGTGTTGTGGACTGCACTGCACCCTGCTTACCCAATAGGGAAGGCCATCTGCGCCGCAAGAGAGGGAGGTCGCGTGGAAGAGCTGAATACAATTTCGACTTCTATGAGGCATGGGACGATGACGAAGCGCTCGCTTCACCCTCTACGGCGTGGGGAAACGATGAGCTGGACAGCTTACTGGCAGGTCATGGCTCTAGAGCAGATCAGCCACGACGACAGCGGGCAATGAGCTACGGCTCTCGGGGAAGACGGAAAACGAACATACTGCAGGGTGACCCCGATCCGGACCCTACTATAATTCCAAGCTCCTCATATCTGGGTTTTCTGGAACGGTTGCCATGGAAGCTGGGTGCCAGGAAGTTGCGATATAAGCCCTCGGCGGCAGACTTGCAGGAACACCCGGGAGCTGCACGACCGCATCCTGCAGAGGTTGAACCGCTGATTGAGGAGCACGATGAAGACTCCAACACCTGGAAGAAAGGACATGGTCGACAAAGGAGTGATACTAACGCTTCTCGATCCACGACCAATTCACTTAGCTCTAGGGGAGATTTGATCATGAGCGACGAAGAGGATGACGCAGTCCCACTGGACGATGAATTCGCATCAACCATGCTGGTTCGAAGAAGCACTAATCTGGGTACGGGTACAGTGGAAGACCAAAGCAGTAGCAAGACGAGGACTCCCAGTGGAAAGCGTCCTGGAGCACTTCGCACGTCAACGAGAACGCCATCTTCGAAGTCGATACAAAGCCCCGGGATGCAAAGTCAAAGGTCTTCGTCACAGAAGAGTCTTGCTCCGCCTGCATCTCCCACTCCCAAGAGAGAACGCGGGGAACTACCTACATTGCTTGATCTTAAGCTTCAAGAGGAGGAAGTAGCAAGACAGGAAGAGTTAGAGATCAAGCAGAAAAGAGAGGCCGCACACAGGTTAGCCGTACAGCGAGGCCTGAGCGGGGGAAGCACAGTGTCTGCGGCAGTCGATGCTTCTGCGAAAGAAGACGAGACGATCAGCAACAACGCTGAGGAGGCTGATGAAGACAGCAGTTCGACGTCTTCTGAACCTCAAGTTATCGCGGATAATCCTGCGGGTCAATCTCAAGAAATGGGGATGGATGGTAAAGACCCGACATGAAGGGGATGCCTGAGGTTTTGCGCAATTGATGGCTCCTGTGCTTGGAACTAATTACGACTTAATGACTGGCAGCATACCTACCTAATGAATCTTGTGTATATGGTGAAATGAGCGAGATATAGTCCTAGCTAGACTGTACAGCCGTGTATTTTTACTCTGCAACACCACCGTTCTCTGTCGAGCCTACGAAGCATCATGAAAACGACCTATCTAGGTCTCCATGTGTGCCACTGTACTCCGTATACAATACTTTCTCTTCTGATGTGGGAATTTATTCATAGCAATCTCTCCTTATCAAACACCTGACAGGGGTCTGGAGGCGGCGGATGCGGCCGTTATCTGTGGCTGGTCCAAACCCTCAAGTCTCCGGCTGCACTTGGGCGAACCTAATGCTTGCCACCTACGCACCACTCATCTATTTTCGTGGTGCTGTCTTGACCTGCAATTACAATGCGCCATTTGAGCTGGTTCAATCGCCCATCTTCGACGTTACTATGACCTTGGGTCGATGACCTACAGATTCACGACAACCCGTACATCCCGGAACGTCCTCTGTACCGAACGACCTCACCCGCCATGAACAATAAACTCCCACCCTCATTTCGCATTGACATGGATGACAAGAAGGCCTGGAGTCCCGAGTCTTCATCCGAACCGTCGGCTTTCGAGGGCGACATGCATCAAGTGAAAAGAACATTTACACGACGGCTTACAGAGAGCTTCAAACGAGACCCAAACGCCAGCGTCACCCGGTCATCTATCAGCGCAGGCGACAATCACCATCATTATGATGCCGAGGCTGCGGCGCAGGCGACTGCCATGTCGCCCTTACTGCGTAGACTCAAGGGTCGACACCTACAGATGATAGCGATCGGCGGCAGTATAGGCACCGGCCTGTTTGTTTCAAGCGGCAGAGCTCTGGCATATGGAGGTCCTGCGTCATTATTGATTGCATTCACCCTGACAGGGTGTATGTTGTACTGCACGGTACAAGCGCTGGGCGAACTAGCCGTGTTGTTCCCAGTCGCAGGCTCCTTCGCGGCATACTCGACTCGCTTTCTCGACCCAGCGTGGGGATTCGCCATGGGCTGGAATTATGCGATGCAGTGGCTTGTTGTGCTCCCATTGGAAATCGTGTCGGCCTCCATCACGGTCGACTACTGGGTATGTATCTCTGTGTCTACAAACCGGCAGGTCTGACAATGGCACCAGATACAAAACGTTAGCTTAAATGCTGCATGGGTGGCCATCTTCCTCGTCATGATCGCCGTCATCAATTTCTTCGGGGTAAAAGCATACGGCGAGGCTGAATTTGTCTTTTCCGTCATCAAAGTCACAGCAGTGATAGGATACATGTGCGTACTCGGCATCTCCGTGGGAGTTTGTACCGCGAATCTGACAACATCTTAGTTTGCTCGGTGTTCTCGTTAACATCATGGGTGGTGTTGACAGCAACGGCCGCGCTGATGGCAGTTACATGGGCTTTCGCCTCTGGCACCATCCAGGCGCCTTCCATAATGGCTTCAAAGGCTTGTGCAGTACTTTTGTAACAGCAGCCTTCGCTTTCGCAGGCACTGAGCTAGTTGGTTTGGCTGCCGCAGAAACAGAGAACCCGAGGAAGACTCTACCTACAGCAATCAAGCAGGTTCGTGGCAGCATCTTGAAAACCCCTCCCATGCAAGTGCACCTGATCTGACGAGAAATGCAGGTATTTTGGCGAATCACACTCTTCTATATCGTCAGTCTATTGATTGTCGGCACACTGGTCCCCTATGATGACCCACGTCTCCTGAACGGCCAAAGCAACGCCGATACCAAGTAAGTCTCTTTTTAAGCCATTTCTCCATCTCCTCTTCGTCTCCCTGTTCTTTTGAGCTAGGGCTAAATATCTTCTCTCAGAGCCTCGCCCTTCGTCATATCGATCCAAAATGCCGGTCTCGCCGTCCTTCCGTCCGTGATGAACGTAGTGATAATGATCTCGGTCCTCTCGGTCGGCAACTCCAGCATCTACGGGTCTTCACGCACATTAGCCGCGCTCGCCGAACAACGTCAAGCACCCTCTTTCCTCGCATACATCGATCGCAAAGGCCGGCCCCTCTACGCCATCATTATCTCCACGGCCCTGGGTTTCCTCGCCTTCCTCGCGGCCTCGGCCAAGCAACAGGACGCATTCAACTGGATGCTCGCGCTCTCGGGCCTCTCGTCCATCTTCACGTGGGGCAGCATCTGCCTGGCCCACATCCGCTTCCGCAAGGCGTGGATCGAACAGGGCCACACGCTCGACGAGCTCGCCTTCCGCAGCCCCGTGGGCGTCGTGGGCTCCTGGATCGGCCTGGGGTTCAACATCATCGTGCTCATTGCGCAGTTCTGGACAGGCTTCAGCCCCGTGGGCTACGCGAGCGAGAGCGCCTCCGATCTCGTCATCAACTTCTTCCAGGCCTACCTGGCCGCCCCCGTCGTCGTCATCATGTACATCGGCTACAAAGTGTACATGCGCACGAGCATCATCAAGACAAGAGACATGGATCTCTTCACGGGGAAACGCGAGATGAACGTCAAGAGTCTCGTCGCCGAGGAGAGGGCCGACCGACTTAACTGGCCTACTTGGAAGAAGGTTTATAAATTTCTTTGCTGATGAATTTGATTGTACTCAAAACTTTAAAACTTGTACTCTCTTGTCTTCTCTTCTACGATATTCCTCACTAGGTATACAGAGCAGAGCAGAGAGAGTAGAGCGGCGGCCGAGTCAATAATGACAATTTTGCAGCTTTATGTTATCATCATCAACCATTCTGAAAGTAGTCATCGGTCTAACAACGTGCGCACTCTGATAAGTAAATATGGGGATCGCCTCAAGGAACTGTGTTCAGATTGTATCGTATTATAGTGTATTTATATGATACCAGACTTGAACCAACTACCAGCTACCAGCTACCACCAACCAGCAGGGGTTGCTTTCCCTCCGTCAAGCTTCGGGTCACCTCGAGCCTCTCGTGCCTTTGATGGCGGCGATCGCGCTACGTCGGTGGGCACTTTCCGCAAACAAGGCCCTGATCAAATCCACGACCTCGTCCGGCGAAAACTCCAGGCTCAATTCCCCTTCGGTCCAGAGATACTTGATGTCGACAAGCGAGCTCTCGAGGATGTTGATCAGGTACTGAAACTTGAGCCAGTTGGCGACGTAGACTGCCGTCATGGGCACGACGGGGTCGCGGTGGTCCTGGCTCTGGTCCTCGACGTCCGGGCCCGGAGGCGGCGGGCCGCCGAGGAACAGGTCTCCAAGCGAGGCGATCTGTTGGCAAAACGCGGTCAAGCGGCGCGACTCGGGCTCGGAAATGTCCTCCATCTCCTCGACCGAGTCGATCACTTTGCCAATGACCATGGTCACGAGCGAGCCGATACTCTGCATGAGCGCCGACGTCGACAGGATCGGCTGCCACGCAATGTGCAGGGCGCGGATGCGGTCAACGACGGCCGACACGGCGTTCCCGATCTCTTGCGAGTACGGAAACTGCGTGCACGACGTGAACCCCTGGGCGCCTTCGAGCAGGTCCCACACGATGAGTCGCTGCGTCTCCATTTCCTTGGAATACGCGAGGCGCGCAAACTTCTCCATCGATGACACGTCGGAGCCGACGCTGGCCATGCCGGCTGGGACGCTCATTTCGCGCAGTCGCTCGGCGATGTACAGTGAGTCGTTGTACCGATGGATGTCGGTGAGAGAGGCAGATGCGCCGTAGTATGTCGGGGCCGTGGCGCGGAACATCGCCAGAGCCAGTGTTGGAAGGGCAAGAAGACCTCGCGTCGCCGAAGAAGAGTTGAGACCATCGTGTGGGTTCTCCTGAATGGCCTGAGCGTCGGATATGTCTTTGCCTATGATTTCGACTAGGTGGTCTGGGATATCTGTGATGCTGTACAGCTCGGTCAAGGTGACTTCTTTCTTTTGGTCTTTTTCAGCCTCTTTTGCACCGTTCGCTCGCTTGCCGTCGTCGTCTTTGCCTTTGGCAGGTGTGTCCAAAGCTACATCAGCCGCCCCATCGTCATCCCAGCCCCAGGCATCGGCTGCATCGTCATCTCCATCTTGGTTCGACGAAGTGCCATTCTTGTTGTCTTCGTCCTTTGTCTCAGCTTCATCCTCGGCGGCGTCGTCGTCGTCGTCGTCAAATCCCCATCCGCTAGCATCCTCCTCCTCTACTGCTTCAGATGTTTTATTGGATTCTTCTTTGGTTTTGTCATCGTCCCAGTCGGCATCCCAATCAGCGGAATTCTCAACGTCATCGCCGTTCTCATCTGTTCGCGAGGAGAGAATCCGTCGTTCGACTCTTTCGACCTGTCTCAAAGTCCCCTTTGAATTTGCAAAAGCTTTTCGAACGGCGTCTAGAGTGGCTGCTTTGCGCTTGTTTAGCCAGGCCCGAGGGAGATCTTCAGCCCAGTCCTGCAGCTGCTTTTGGCCCTCCCACTGCATGGATTGCAGCTCTTTTAATATTCTCGTGGCCTTGTTTTGGAGTTCGTCTAGTTCCCGAAGCATCGTGAGATCGATTGGCAGGCCAGGATTTAGCCAGTCATTTACGAGCAAAGTCATCAACTCGCCCAGGACAGCCTCAGCTGCTGCAGACTGGATTGTACTGGCAAGTCGCGTCCGCAGAAAGGTGATGAAAGTTGAACCAAAGTCTAGTACTAAGTCGACTGACGGGCTTTCTCGGCCCAACTCGAGGCTTAAGGTGTTTCCATCCAGCTTGAACGAGATCATTTTCAGTCGAGAAGCCTGCCTCAGAGGCTGGAGCACGAAGGCTTTGATTTTGTCGGTCAATGGCTCCAGTGAATCCGTGGAGTCTCCGAGAAGATTCAAAGCTCGGATCAGTACGTCTGAATTCGTGGCTGAGGGGTCACCTTCGGTGGGCGAAACTTCGATATAAGCCTGGTGTTGCTCTCGTTGCACTGAAATCTGGGCATTCAACTTTGTTTCCAGCTGTACTCTAGCCTTCAACCGAAATTCGTCCTTGAGATCCCTGATAATCGTAGATATTCGAGACCTCAGCATGTTCGCGGTCTTCTTGTCCAGCTCTTGAATCTTCGCGGCGGCTTCACAAGGATCACCGTTTTGTAAACACTCTTCGACATCTCTAAGCGCTCTTGTGGCCGTACTTGCGAGGTTCAGCTCGTTTAACACATCGCTTGTAAACTCAATCTCCGTCTCCAGAAGTTCCACCTTGCGTTGGAAATCCGTGGCCTCTTCTCGTAATGTCTGAACATGCTGATGCTCCTCGACAATTCGTTTCGATTCCTCCTTGCATCGCGCGATGTCTTCTTGCACCTTTTTGGCCTCTGTGATCCATTTTTCAACATTGCCGTCGTCGTCCTGGTTTGCTGCCTTGATTTCCTCGCCGATTTCGCGTTGTGCCCGGGCAATATGGTCGAGTAGTGACGGGAGGATCTCGGGGGACAGCTCAGAGGTCAACAGAGGTTCGGACTGTGGGAATGTGCTGTTCGCGATGGCCTCACATAGAGCAGCATCGTCAATTGCACCAGGCATCGTCGTGGCTTGCTCTGGCCCTGGGCGATGGATAGGGGTGAGGTGCTGGCTTGCTGTTGTCTTGTGCACATTGCTGGCCACCAAAGCAGAAAGTTGAAATGACATCAAGGCCAGTTCTCAACAAGGCTGAACGGGGTCTACGAGGCTGCCAAGGTTGGCCTGATCCTATGTATGTACTCTTCTCCTTTAACATAATTAGGAGTTCTGCAATCCTCCGCTGTCTGATAGAGAATCTTGTCTATATTGATAGATACATAGCCCAGGTGTTTCAAGACAAATGGCACTGTCTTGACGGTCATTGAGCCGTCCGGCGCCATACTCTGTCTGCATTCCCCTTCCGCGTTGATGTATCGCATCGCAAATGGTCTATTTGAAACGATACACGATGTCCTCGAACTTATCAACGGCAAAGACATAAAACCACTTCAAATCCCCGCCGGTACTGTCTGTACTTGTACAGCTGTTTCGAATTCCGTGTTCCGCATTCCCTGGAATATAGATTGCATCGCCACTTTGTACCTCTCGTTCGACCCCATCAATCAAAACGACTCCCCGACCCTCGGTGATGTAGTATACCTCCGCCTGCTCATGGCGGTGCGGACAGAGATGACCCGTCCCAGGCGGGCACGTAGCTATCCCGGCAGTGAGGCTGTCTGTTGGTGTCTTTGATGCAGAAAAGAGCGTGTGCCATGTGCAATTGCCCCGTGATACCGTACTGTCGTCGGGGAATGTCTCGGGTTCCTTCTCAGCGAGCGATGCAGAATGAACTATGACGGGCGAGGTAGGCATTATTGCTGCCTTCGACTATCACGAGAGCTCGAGAATACAGAGCGTTGCGGAATTCCTCCCAAGCTTATGTATATAATAAAGACGTCCTCCACCCGCGCTGCGGAGATCCACGACAAAGTTCAAAGCCCCTCTGGGATGATGGAACTTTTCACTGTGTCAGGACGTGGATATTGGGAAACTTCTTCCGTTCTCAGGTTAGCCTTATTAAGAGAAGAAACCTGGCATATTGGATCAAGAATGGACAATGTCAAAGTATCACTCGGAAGTACCTTTCCAACCCATTACAGCATCACCAAGCCAGCAATTACTTGAAGGCCGTATGGTCGAACAACGTCACTATAGGTGCCTATTGTAATCCCTTGCTTTTGCGATGGGAGGGGAGATCTAGTAAGACACATCTATGAAGAAAAAGGACACCCTGATCCACCATAGACTCAAGGCAGAGGTATAACATCAGGTAGGCGTGGGCCGACAGACCCTAGGGCCAATATGATCATCTTGAACACACCGTCATAGCACATAGTTTGAGCTCGGCCCTGCTCAACATTGAGTGCTTGTTCCGTAACATGGGACAATCATCAACGAGGACGAATCCCGTCCTCGCCATCACCACCCCGCGACTTAGCCACGGTTTTGGTAGGCACGAACTATTGGAGGAACCAGTGCCCCTTGCGTCAGGGCAACATGTCATGCCTCGGATCTGGGCAAGGAGCAACTTCAAGCTTTGGGACTGGTAGAAGTGCTCTTTACACCAAGGCTCTTTCAGTGTCTTTTTTTGCAACAGTGCAAGTTCTTGACAAGAGTCCGAAGTAGGCCCAGTGCCTGGAGGATCTTAACTGCCGCCGGGAACATCAGACCGAGATTCCCTCCGTTGCTTCGACCCGCCAACCACACAAGCCTGTGCCAAACGTACAACTGGATTTATTTCTTGTTTCGTTCGGCCTGGGCCTTCTGGTACTTGGCGATCAATTCCTTCTGCAATTGCATAGGGGCTCTCTCGTAGTGACTGAACTCCATGGAGAATTCTCCCTTGCCTTGCGTCGCAGCTCGTAGGTTGCCGCTAAATCCAAACATACCATTCAAACTGGCATCCGCCCAGACAGTAAAATCGTCAATCCCCACTTCAGTATCGTTGATGACGGCATTTCGCTTCTGTAAAAGACCGACAACATTACCCTGGAATTCTGTCGGGGCGGTAACGACAGTTTTCATGAGTGGTTCGAGAACGACAGGGTCGGCCTGGATAAAGGCCTTGCGGAAAGCTTGTTGCGTGGCATTCTTGAAAGCCATTTCGCTGGAATCAGTCATATGCGTTGCACCGTCGTTTATGACCATGGACGTTCCCAGGACTTTGTGGCCGATCAAAGGACCCTTCTCACAGGCTTGAAGAAAACCTTTCTCACAAGCAAACAAAAATTTCTCCGAAATGGAGCCTCCAATGACTTGTTCTTCAAAATGGTTGCCTTCGAGTTTGCCGCTGGGTTCCATCCATCCCATGACACGGGCGTAATCACCTGCACCACCAGTTTGTTTCTTGAGCAAGTGGTCAAAGTCGACCTTCTTAGTGATTGTTTCACGGTAAGCGACTTGAGGCGGACCCGTCTCACAATCGACCTTGTACTCACGTCTCATGCGCTCGACGTAGACTTCAAGATGAAGTTCGCCCATACCAGAGATGATAGTCTGCTCGCTCTCCGTGTCAAAATGCACTCTAAAAGTAGGATCCTCACGTTGGAATCGTGCGATGGCTTTAGAGAAGTTTGGCAAGTCCTTGTTGTTCTTGGGTTTGATGCTGAGCGAGATGACCGGTTCTGGGACATACATGCTTGTCATGCTGTATCCGAGCTGGCCGTCGGTAAAGGTATCACCAGATGCACAGTCCACACCGAACACGGCGCAAATTTCTCCAGCACCAATTTCGTTCACTTCTTCCATCTCGTTGGAATGCATGCGGACGATTCGAGGGATCTTGATTCGCTTATCGGTTCGAGCATTATAGACGTGGAGACCTTTGGTCAACTTGCCCTGGTAGACACGAATGTAGGTGAGTTGTCCAAAGTTCGACTCTTCCAGTTTGAATGCCAATCCTACGAAGGGAAGTGAGTTGTAAGGGATCAGCTTGACGGGAGCTTCCTTCTGTCGGCGATCAAGAGCAGTGTTTGAAACCTCGGCTGGGTTTGGCAAATAATCACAAACACCATCAAGCATTGGCTGAACGAACTTGTCGGCCAGAGCTGAGCCCATGAAGACTGGCGTAAACTTCAGGGAGATGGTTGCACGGCGAATGGCTGCCCTGAGCTGTTCGATAGTCGGCTCCTGCTCGTCCAAAAACAGATTGGCCATTTCCTCGTCGACATCAGCAAGGGTTTCGATCAGCATGGCCCTTCGTTCTTGAGCAAGCTGCTGGACTTCGGCAGGAATCTCGTCTTTGGTGACGATGATTTCACCACGTTCACCTTCAGCGTAGTATGTCTTCATAGTAACCAGGTCGACCAAGCCTTTGAACTCGTCCTCGGCGCCAATAGGGACTTGAACAGCGGCAGCGGCAATCTTGAGCTTCTTGTTGATCTGATCTACAGCTTTGAAGGGATTCGCACCCATGCGGTCCATTTTGTTGATAAAACTGATCCGAGGAATGTTGTACCGTCTCATCTGTCGATCAACCGTAATAGTTTGACTTTGCACACCCGACACGGCACACAGGATCATTACAGCACCGTCGAGGACTCTGAGCGCGCGTTCGACTTCAATGGTGAAATCAATATGCCCAGGAGTATCGATCAAGTTGATGTGGTATGTCTCCTCTTTGCCATTCTCTTTCTTGACCCAATCGCAGAAAGTGGCTGCAGACTGAATGGTAATACCCTTTTCTCGTTCCAGTTCCATTGAGTCCATCTTTGCGCCGACAGAGTCTTTGCCTCGTACTTCGTGAATGGACTTGATACGGCCGGTGTAGAATAGCACTCTTTCAGTGGCCGTAGTTTTGCCAGAGTCGATATGAGCCTACTCAAGGTAAGTTTCGCATACGAGACTGAGACACTTTTCAACTTACTGCTATACCAATATTCCTCACCTTAGACAGTCGATGGGCTTCTTCTGCTGAGAGGTTGTCGATAATGGTTTCTTGCGATAGGGAGTCAGGGTCTGAGGCCTCTTCGAGCCTAGAGAGGAATGTTAGCATCCAAATCTCAGCTCTCGATGTACAGGAGTAACACACATTGCAGCAGCTGCCCCAGCGGCACCACGCTTCTGCTGCCACCGTCTGTCGAGTGACCGTTGTGTCGGCTGCGACCTCAGGCCCGAAGTGTACGCCTGCAGAGCCACGGACGATGCGCAGCGACGGCAGACCCATTGTCGACTGATCTGAGAGGCGGGAGCGCGTAGAAGGCCGCCGACAAGCCGAGACTGTCCTCGGAGAGCGGATACTGCACTCATCTTGAAGACACACGACAGATGCAGAAGTCGAGTGTATGGAAGGCTCAGAGGACACGCAGCCTGAGTCTACTCGATGGTGTTGCACTCGTACCCAGCTTAACTTTTTTTGCCGAACATCGAAGCTCCGCCGAAACGGACATAGTGTGATCGCAACGAATCCGCCAATAGGAATCCTCGCCACTAAGAACAATCCCCTTCTCCCGGACAAGGCTGACTCTTCAGATTTATTGTTTCTCATAAGACATTGACGGTCGCGGCGACGGTGGTGCAGGAACGGGAAGGCAAAGACAACTACACTCTGGCTCTGTCGGAGGATTGTTAGCTTCGGCATGTTATAGACACAGGTTTGCAATGTACAATTGCGCCTACTGCTGGGTTCTGATGGTGGTATTACGAAATTCAACTGCTTTCTTAAAATCATACCCTCATTGGATTCTGGTCTATATGCGTCTGTGAGCCTACACAAGCCGAACTCCCAAGATTATTCAGTTCTCTTCTTGCCTTCTTCCATGTAGCCCATATTCATGTTTGTGGTGCTCATTTTGCGCGCAGTCCTAACCTTGCCACTCTCTGCTGCGATGATGGGTCCAATCACCGGATCTCTGTGAGCGCGCATGAGAGCAGCATTGTATCCGTCAAGAGCAAACTGTGGGGTGTTCAATTTGGGCCAATTGACGTAGAGCAAACCGTGTGAGTATACAAATCGAAAGCACCAACCCGCAATTACTAGACACAAGATGACAAGTATGCGTAGAGGCCAGACCGCGGCCTCCGGTGGCTGTCGTGTGAGCACAGATATCAGAATAATGAACAGCGAAGCTGCCAAAAGATAGGGTACCGCTTGTACGACGAGCGGTCGTTGGTCTTTGAACATCAATGAAGATCCGACACCGTGTGTCGAGGGTAGATACGCTCCAAGGAACAAGTCGAAGCCGTCTTGTCTAGGTCCGTCCAGGAAGTTGTTTCGGACGTACCGAGTAGTGGAGTTGTTGAGATCTTGAAGCATGCCCGCTTTTGTGCGCTTGCCTGTGCGGGTGAAGTCTGTCTTCAACGCCCCTGTGCCAGAGTAAGACTTTGAAACCACATCTGCGTTGTCTGCCCAGATGTTGCGAAACATGAATTCGAAAGATGGATCATCATCAGCTCTTTCGCCTGGTTGTAGGAGACCCAAGTCTTGGAACTGCTGGGTTATAGCCCATCTCCCCAGCATGCTCTGAACAACATTGGTCCTGTCGAGACAGTCCATACAGTTCGTGCGGACCACGGCGGTCTGCAGCGACCTTATCTCCAAAGCACCTGAAGGATTTCCCGGCATCTCAACACCACGGAAGTACTGTCCTTTCCTCAAGCCATCCAGAAGCTCATCAAGGAGGAGCTCAGCTCGGTGCCACCTCAAGCCCTTCGTCTCATTGTGGAAGTCGAAATAGACATAGTGCAATTTGTCCATACGTTGACGTTGTTGACTGGGATTGATCTCATGAAACCTTTCGTCGGTTTGTCGGCCTGGTTCAATGGTCTCATCAGGAGACTTCACCAGAATGCGCACCATTTGTTCGTAAGCCTTCTTCACCCGTTCCTCTCTTCCCCGAGCATTCACCAGGTTGACTAAGTAATTCTCGCCATATGTTCTGATCTGTTCATCAAAGTGCTTCCGAGCTGCATCAACAGCATTTTCGACCCCATCTACCACGAGCTTCGGTGTATATCGGAGATCATTGATCTCGGTCCAGTAAACTGGTACACTGCCACGTGTCTGAACATAGGACAAGATTTGTGTCTCTGCTACTGAAGCTCCAACTTTGCCATTCTGCATCCCTTGGCCCCCAGCGTAGCCGGTTGGCTGGCTTGAGACATCGTTCAACACCACAATCTGTTCCGTCTCATTGAAGTTGGAAACATGGCCTTGCTGGTCTATGCCCCTCGAGAGGTACCTCGTACCCGCCCTGAACCTTGATCTCCTGGTGATAAGAGCGAAGGTAAAATTGATGGATTTAATCTTCGCTGGCTTGATCTCCAACATGCCGAACATGACAGGGAGAATATAAGGGTCGGTCCCGGGCTGTTGCTGACTTTTCACATCCGCTGAAGTGCCACCTCCAGTCCGAAAATCAATCAGATCAGTCTGGATGAAACGGTTCCAGAAGAACCGGTCGTCTGCCCTTTTCCAGAGAGGCTGTGAAAGATCGGACTGAGATTGACGCTGGAAGGTGGAGGTGACATCGAGAGAGTACGAAAAGTACATGGGCCCAGTCGCGAGCAGATTCTTGAGATAGGAAAGGTAGGTATCTTCGTCAGGGTCGTGAACACGGCGCTCGCGCAGAGGAAGAAACTCTGTAGCCACGACCTTGTAGATCATATGTCCTCGTAGCCTCCCCATGGGCTGCGCCTTGGTAATGACAATGACATATTTGTCCAGCTTGAGCTTGACGATGCCTAGGATACCAGCAATGCTGGAGACCCGTTTTGCACCCAGGAGAGATCCATCGTTGAGTCTGATGTCCCCAGAGGGCCTTTCTACCACCAAGGTTGGCGCGGAGGGAGTGGAAGGCGAGGTAAACGCATAGTGGCTCGTAGAAGCGTGGACGTTGATATCGCGGAAGGGCAGCAGATTAGCCATGGTGGAGGCAGGCCAGTGTCTTGAGCAGGATTTCTTTGTCTTCGCTAACAGGGCATTATCGTTGTGATTGCTGGGGCCACAGACGAGTGAAATAGATGGGATAGGCGACCTGATTACTAGAATGTGGCGGGCAGTGCAGTCAGTGCAGTCAGTGCTGGTTTCCTGGCTCTGGCTCAACAGTCGCGCAGCTCCAGAAACAGACTGGCCTGTATCTCCAGCACCGGCGTCGTCATCCTTGGCACGTTCTCGTCACCCGCCGCAACTCATGCAACTCCTCCGAGAGGCTAAACGACTCCGGTCTGAGACTTGCAGGCTGTATCGTAGGCATACCACTAACCACCATCACCGCCAACCCTCAACCACTTCCGCATCCCGTTGACCCTCCTGCGTAAAGTCGCAGCCACTTCATAATCTTCTCGCCCTGTGAACATTACAACTGACCCTCTGTTGGGATCCAAACCCCACGATGGCTGCACGAGCTCCAGCTGGCCGGCCTGGCGCAGGTGGCAGGTTTGCACAGTTCAAGCTCGTTCTTCTCGGTATGTTGAGGCCGGTCTTCTGACTACGATAGGCTCCTGACAGTGTCTACAGGTGAATCTGCCGTAGGAAAGGTATTGTGCTTGACGAATCCGATCGCTTCCACTCCCTAACTTTGCCCAGAGCTCATTAGTCCTTCGTTTCGTCAAAGACCAATTCGATGATTACCGCGAGTCAACAATTGGCGCCGCTTTCTTGACACAAACAATCACACTAGATGAGAACACGACGGTCAAGTTCGAGATATGGGATACGGCAGGCCAAGAAAGATACAAGTCGTTGGCACCCATGTACTACCGCAACGCAAACTGCGCAGTCGTCGTCTACGATATCACCCAGGCTGTGAGTGTTTGCCACTACCGAGAACCCGGAGCAGCGTACTGACTTTCTACAAAGTCTTCTCTAGATAAAGCCAAATCATGGGTGAAAGAGCTGCAAAGACAAGCTAACGAGAATATTATCATCGCATTGGCGGGAAACAAGGTGGACGTGGTCAACGAACATCCCGACAAGCGCGCGATCCAAACCGCCGACGCAGAAGCCTACGCCAAAGAAGCAGGCCTCCTCTTCTTTGAAACTTCTGCAAAGACGTCAACCAACGTCCGGGAACTATTTACTGCTATTGCAAAGAAATTACCACTCGACCAGGCCGGTCCCCGCAACCTGCGATCGAATCCTAGACCCGGAGTAGATCTACGACCGGAGTCGACCGGCACGCAAGGAGCATCAAACTGCCAGTGTTAAACCACGCGACCATTTATCGATTCTTTGACTTCATGTATTGAGCTAACAGGCGTACGGCGGGAGATTGTGGCCAGGAAGGGACGCTGGATAGGATGGATTTTTGCCACGAACGACGGGCGCTTACCTGAGAGCGGGAGATGTACTCGACCGATCGGGACAGCGTGTGCGGGAACAGGCTCATCTCTCTACATCATCTATGAGTTATACTGCAGAGACGGGCGTTGCAAGAATTGACCCGGCCAACCCATTGTGTTAGTTACTATCACCCTTTAATGCTTAGACAATGTTTCTACAGGTTTTACTTTCAGCCGCAATGGCTTCTGTTCTAAGTCGAGCGCATTCACGTTTCCATCCATCGTTCGCGCGATGACGACACCCTCCAACGACTGACATTTAGCACTCTCGGCGCACCTATACTGAACCACCACTCCTCTGATTGGACTGATCGCCGACCAGCCCAGCCATCTCCAGCAACGCTCTCGCACCGTCCTTGTCACCGCCGAAATTGACACCCCGTCGCCGGGCGGCTTCAGCCTCTTCCCACGCGAGCCGGTTCTTCTGTTTCGTGATCTCATCCTCTCCCGTGCCGGTGGGGAAACTAATTCCCCATACTTCGAGGGCGTCGATGTCGAATTGAATCTTCTTCGCCTGCGCCGTGTCTGGGTGGTGCGTCTGCGCCGTCTCGAGCCCCGGATCGGTAACAAACGCGCCGCTACCGGCCGATCCGTCGTGTTGGAACGTTGCGGTCGAGATGTCACTGTCTATCAACAGGCTCACTGGGCCGAGAATGGGGGGCTGCGGCGCAGCGGAAGTGCGAGACCTCTGGGGGATGACACACCCTAGTGCAATACCTGTCCTCGTCGAAAAATGCAACCAGGATAATGTGCGGTTGTACGGGTTTCCAGGAAACAGGGCCTGGCGGGGGTGTAGTTGGACAAGCGAGGGCCTGGGGGCCGACTGGTCATGGGACGAGGGTATATTGGGGTTTGAATTCGATGTAGAGTCGTGCCAGCGGCCAGGAAGATAGGCGCCCAGAGTTATGACCTGGTTGGCGTCATCGAGTGTGGTTCCCGAAACGAGGAGGAGGGAGCCGGATTGCCAAGATGTGACTTGGCGTGAGAAAGAGGAGAGGGACGTGCCATCGCTGGAGGAGGAATATAAACGATTGAAGTGTGCGCCCGAAGGAAATATGTTCATGAGAGTGCCAGAGGGGTTGGAAACTTTGAGGGTCATGGAGAGTTGGGAGAGGAGAGTGTCGGTGAAGATTGTCGTGTCATCTTCGGGAGAACGATATATGAATGACTGTTTGGTATCTTGATTAGGGACTGGGTCCGGTAGATTGCGGTGTTTGTTCAGATTGATGTTCTTGCTAAAGAGAAAATGTTCAAAGAGGTTGTTAAAGGGGTCGAAAAGCTCGGGGAGTGTGGTTGTGACAGTTTTGACGAAATTTGGATAGCGAATGCCTTTAGTCTCTGGGCCAGGGTCGAATGCGGCAATGATTGAGTCCGCAGACGCGCTTAGAGCTTGGAGCCTTTCTTCGTTCAGAGACTCTCCGTAACTGCCTAGAGGGGTCAAGGGGTCAATGCCACTCATGAGGAGGAGCAGCATGACCAGTTTCTTGAAGTTCTCGACCGGAATCATGGCGTGGTGGATCTTGCGGTCGGTCTTTTGGTCGTGCTTGAACACTTCGATGGCGTCGAGGGAGTCCAGAGCAGCAAGGGCGAGATCATCGTCGTCTTCGTCTTCATCATCATTGAGCGGTTCGTCAATGGCAAATCCCGAGGGATGGGTCCTTGGACCTTCTGCGGCTTCTCTTTGTTCCAGCATATCTTCTGGTAACTGTTCTCGAATAACATGGTCCATGGACGGCTTTTCTTTGGTCGAAAGAGCCGTGCTTGCTGCCCGATCAAATACTGCTAGACTCCGGAACAGCAATTTCGCCTTGTCCTGGTCGCCTCGTCTCAAGACTTTCTTGTACCTACCCGTCATTATTGTGATGACTTTGAGCATGTTCTCTCTGGTCAATATGCACGGTGCCAGCCTCGGGAACGGGAATGCGCCGAGATAAGTGCACATTTGGTAGACCACCGGCCCTGCGTGAAGAGGTTCTGGCAAGGCCAGGAATCGACATAGTGTATCCTCTTTCCAGTACTCCAGATCATCTTGGTGATCAGCCAGACTTTTAAAGTTGTCCTTGTAATGGACAATCTCCAACGAAGAGAAGCATTTCGAAGCAAAGCGTAGAGCGAGCTGGTGGCTCAATTGCTCTGAGGGTGTGGGTATCAGAACACATGCAGGTTCACTAAACCAGATCTCTCGACTTACCTATTGGGACCTCTGTTGTTGGCTCTGCTGACTGTGATTGACCCATTGTTGGTCAGTTCATGGTCCAAATGAACATCGATAAGTGACTTGCTGGATACCTACTAGAGTACTACATCCCACCACAATGTTGCGCTTCACGGGAGAAAGGTTTCACCGGAATTTGAAGTACGGCGGACTACGGCGAACAGAACGAATTATCTTCCACGAAGTTTTTGGAGAGGGCAGCCCGGCCGTCCAGGCTCAATACTAGCAAGTTCTGCCTGTCTCCAGCTAGAATGTCTGCTTTATGATGCGGACATGGACCTGGGGGACATCGATACATCTTCGCCCTCGGAGTCGCACATTTGCGACAACGTCCGCGGTCATGGCCAGGACGTACGCAGTATGTGAATCAAGCCACTGGAGCGTCATGATGTTGAGGTCGATTAACGTGTCCATAGGACGCTGTAGCGTCGCTGAACACGCTGCAAAGCAACTTTGCCATCGTTGACGCGATACGCAAATCCGGTCGAAAGATGAACGAGCAAGCCATCCCCGAGATGATCGAGTGGCTGCGAAGAATCGGATACCAACCTTCCGACCTCAACGTACTGAGAGCTATACATATAGCTGGGACGAAAGGGAAAGGTTCGACATCTGCTTTCATTTCCTCCATCCTCACACAGTTTGTTGGTGTCGATGGAAGCCCTGCTCTGTCAAAAGTTGGCTTGTACACTTCACCACATCTACGATTCGTGAGGGAAAGAATACAAATCAACGGGGAGCCCTTGTCAGAACATCAGTTCGCAAAATATTTTTATGAAGTATGGGACAGGCTTGAGGCAGCCGCACAAGCAGTAGGGGAAGATCCGACTTCTCCGTCCGCGAAGCCTGTCTACTTCAGGTTCCTGACTCTGATGGCTTTTCACACATATGTAAGCGAAAAGGTCGATGCTGCCGTTATTGAATGCGGAATTGGCGGGGCATATGACAGCACAAACATCATAGAGACTCCGGTGGTGACGGGAATCACCAGTTTAGGGATTGACCATGTCGCCGTGCTTGGTTCCAGTATCGGCGAAATCGCATGGCACAAGGCTGGCATTATGAAACCAGGTGTGAAGTGTTTCACAGTCGATAGTCAATTGCCAGAAGCGAAGAGTGTCCTCAGCCAGGTAGCTCGAGAGAAGGGCAGTCATCTCGAGTACGTCGGAGTCGACCCAGCAATCGCCAGTGGCGAGACACCACTCGGTCTTACAGCAGACTTTCAGAAAATAAATGCAAGCTTGGCCGTCGCAGTTGCAAAAGAATGGCTGCAGAAGCAGGGCGTCGTCGAGACAGAAAGCCTTGAGGAAAAGGTTAAACATGGCCTAGAAAGAGTTCATCTGGCAGGGCGTTGTGACACACGACATGAGCCCGGGATACGATGGTGCATCGACGGCGGTCATACGCTGGAGAGCATCGAACTCGCTGGGAAATGGTTCGCCTCTCAGCTCGCCACACCCAGCACTGACCGTGTGCAACTCGAATCTCACCCGCAACCTCGCTTCTTGATCTTTAATCAACAGACTCGCGATGCTGATGCTCTAGCTAAGGCACTTTTCAACACCCTCTCAACAGCCCTTGAGGATGCCCACCCTTTTACTCACGCAATCTTTTGTACAAACACTACGTTTAAAGAGACAGGCTTTCGACCCGATCTAATCTCTGTCAACACGAACGCGTCAGACGTTGCCGTCCTCAAGGTGCAGAATCATCTCGCGGAGACCTGGAAGCAACTAGACCCCGCCACGCACGTGGATGTCGTCCGGACAATCGAGGAAGCAGTGGCCTTGGTGAGAAGCTTCTCCAGGACACATGTGAACCTTGAGCAAGAAAACAAGAGCCAGGTCACTGCTCTAGTCACTGGGAGTCTTCACCTGGTCGGCGGCTTCCTCGAAGTTTTTGAAAGCACCAGTAATACTGCGACGTAACCGCTTCGCTTACTCGATCATCAACTGCTAGAGATGACATTCGAGATCATAGACTACAAAGTATACGCCCTCATCGGCTATCGGAATTTAGAATAATGCTTTTATATACGATGTATGCCACCGCTTACGGTAAAATCAACATCGACACCATCAGATTGGATTCACGTACCCGCCTGTAACAATCGACAGCCGCCTAGGTTGTACCGCAGCCCTGAATGGCATCATACTGAGTTCCAACACCAATATGATATCATTATCGAGACTAGGATCAAGGAAGAGATACTTTGGCATATTGCAAGACACAGCAACCCCATCTTCATGGAGCCGGGTTCGTGTGTTAGTTCCAAACCTTCAACGAGCGCGGGAAATACTTCGCGGGTTCATAAAAAGGGACGCGATGTGAGCCTGCTATCCAATAACAAGTACAGGCGGGCGCGGAGAGAAGAAGCGCCCTCTTTCTATCTACCATTAGCAAACACCATAACGTTGCCTGGCTGGCTGGCTGTTCTTTGGGATCGTCGAACATCGCGTTGCCCATCCGGGCCAGCAAATGGATGGTTGCCTATACGTTTCCAATGTCTTGTTACGAACTGGTAGTGCACGAATACATTGTATAATCTCTGTCGTTTCCAAGACTCTTCGTGCAGAGAACCTCGTGTGTGTAATAGACAAATACATCATTGATTACCCTGGCTTTAAATTGAAAAGGGCCATGCATTTCACTTCGCTTGATCACTCACTCGCTCATTCATTTCCCCCCTATTTTTGTTTTTGAAACCATCGTAATCCTTCATACATGTTGGCGTTAATCCTTCTGGATCATTCATTGCTTGTTCGGCCATCTACAGCCTTCTCTCAGTCGTTGGACTTACAGGACTCACGACGGACAAGACGCTTCTCCGCCGGTCTCCGTCTCTGGGTATTGTTCCGCCATCCCCAGCCGGACTCGGCTGGGTCCCGGCTCTGCTGCCGGCACTTTCATTGTTGTGCTGGAACGAAAACGTCTCACGTTCACCTTCAGAGGCGCCAATATCCCGCGCGTCCTCAGGCTCTCTCGGTGAAAAGCCCTCGTGTTCTTCAATTATGGGCTGCACGGAACTACTCTCGCTCCCTTGGCGGCCATGGTGGCCGCCGAGGAAGCGCTGACGGCCTTGGCTCTGGTTCTGGCGCCAGGTGTTCTGCGTCGCGGGGAATGGCCAAGGCGTAGTGTCGCTTGAGCCTGTCGTGCTCGAGTCGGTGCTCGGCGTGGACATGTCTTCGGTAAACCGGCTGTTGCTAGCGGCTGGGTAACGCATATTGCGGAGGGGCGAGTTGGTGGGAGCGTTTCCGTTGTAGCTTGTCAGTGGGGAGGGACGGTGTTCTTCACTCGAGGGTCCGCTATTAGAGTTCGAGTTCGTATTCGAGTCGCTGTTGGAGTACGTGTGGCCGAAATTCGCATTGTATCCGTAGTCCACGACTGTCGAATGGCGAGGTTGGTCGTCGCTGTTGTAAGGCGTTGCGAGCTCATAAGGAGGCTTGGGGCGCTCGGTGCCGGCCATCTCGTAGCGTTGGGCCTGCAGAGGTGGTGCTGGCTCATCCGACAAGGAAGCGCGAGGGACTTGTTGGACTTCCGGGGGTGAAGGCGTCGAGTATCTATTCTGTGGTGAGGGTGCGCAGGAGGCTCCGTTCAGCCAGCGTGTCACGCGCGACGTACTGGATGAGGATGACTTCTCCGATGAGCCGCTGCGGATGATGCGCCTGCGTCGGAATAGGAGGAAGATCAGAATGAGGAGAAGGACAGCGATGATGGCCGCGGCGACGCTGACGCCGATAACGGCACCTTTAGAGATACCTGAGCTCCCACCAGAGGAGGATTTCTTGAGCGTCCCGCTTGATGGGTAGGGATAATATTGTTGCGGCATCTGTCCTGCGTACTTTCGTGCGAACAAACCACCTAAGGTGTTGTTGGACCATGCAGCTGTTTCGGAGGCGCCCCCGTCGCTGTCACCGCCAATTACTTTGCTCAAGACGGAGGGTACTTTATACACTTCCCAGGTGTTTGGATCGTAGGTGTTTTGGAATTCAAGCTTGTTCAAGTTGAAAATCTGGATGATGCCTCCTTCAACGCACTCTGCTTGGTTTTGATGTATGCCGCCTATGACAAACATTTGGTCCGGATAGGGCGTTACGCACCTGTGACCAGAGCGACCGTGAGCTTCATTGCCACTGTAGGCCTTGACCCATTTGAAGGACGGGATTGACAAGATCCAAACATCGTCAGAAGGTTCATCACTCGCAGTGAGTCCATCGTAGCCGCCGTAGATGTAGACATTGAACGAAGAGGAGTCGTTGGCTGTCGCGACTACCGAGCAGAACTCGGTCAATTGGCCAGGGCTATCGCCGGTTGTGTTTTGTAGATACCACTTTTGACCCTCGATGTCGTACACGGGTAGTGTCTTCATGAACCCTGGACTTCGGGCTTCACTATCTGACGTTTGGGAGGAGTTTAATCCCACTGGCCATATCTCTTCAGGTGCAGTAACTCCACCTATTGCCACCAAAACACCTTTGTCTGATACTGGAATCCAAACCAACTCTGCGTTTGCCCGCGGCTGGATATTGTCTGGAACGGTAGTGTTTGTCCACTTCTCGTTCCTCATTTCCGACATGTCAACCTCGATCAAGGTATTGGCGGTCTGGTTCGCAGATGAATCTTCATAGTAGATGGGACCCCAATCAGGAGATCGCATTCCGCTGAAGTAGAATCCTAGATTTTCGCTCGGAATGGAGACCCCAGCGCCATTGGTGATATATCTGGTAACACCATCGGGTAGAGTGCCTTGGTAGAAGCCCGGACTCCAGCTGGCTCTGTTGGGACCGTATTGATAGGCTTCATAACCTAGAATTGTGTCGGAAGCCTGTGGAGTTGAGGAGTCCGTCAATGGACCAAGGCCACTGGTTACATTAGCATGACACGAAGCTGGGTTTCTGAATCACTCACCCATATAGATATAACTCGTCATTGTTAGCAAATATTGTGCCATCAACGTAGTTTGGGGCAATGTTGTTTCCTGCACCTCCAGCCTTGGGCATCTTTTCGAATAGTGCAGATATATTCGTCATGGTTGTATCGAATGGGTGTGAGAAATTGAGCCGAAACATATCCCCGGCCACATTGCCGTCGCTGCTCACCACCGGTGTGGTCCCATCTGCAAAAGCAGTCTGCCACCAGAGCAGGCCACCGTCAAGATAAAGAGCATCTCTCACGACCGCAGCCCTCAGACGAGCCCAATTACATATCGTGTAATTTTCTTGCACCGATACCGCTAATGCTATTCTGAACAAGAGTCCTCCAAGGATTCCACATTTCAGATACACTTCCATGGCAAATCAGATCGCTACCACCATATCGTCGAAGTATGAGAGAAGGAAAAACTCAACATCAGGCTAAGTTGTGCAAGAATATGCGGCGAATTCTGGGTAACACCCGGTGTCTTCTTTCGCAAAGGATGGGCGACTTGCGGCTCGAGACATTTCTCGTGTTGATACCTACTGATCTTCACTAACATGAAATTTGCCACGTCGGGATCGTCATCGCCATGCAATGGCAAATTGATTTGACTCTAAGCAAACTACAAGCATCCAACTCCGTAGCAAATGCAGGGTCTACTGTCTTTCGAAGGGAATTGAATGCAAAGTTTGTCATGAAACATGAATCTTTGCGTCATAGAGAAGCCAGGTCCGAATGGGTAATGCAGCGCAGAGACAGGGCATACCAGCTTCACTCCTAGCGCTCGATGGCAGACAATCGCAGCGTAGAACATGGGACCAGGAAGAGACAGTGTTGGCGCGAAGGGACCATCCCTTCCAACAGTCGACATTGGATTGAGAACCCCTTGCAGGCTGTCGGATGGTCATGATGCGCGGCCAAGCGAGCGACAAAGGCAGTTGAGTTGTCGACAGACTGGGGTCGGCAGAGACAAGCGTGAGAACTAAGCTGCTCGCCCAACCGCAAACCGGTTTCTGCGATGAAGATGGACAGGGAAGACGATGACGGTGGTTGGAACAAAGTTCGGAGAAAAGATTCTCCATGGCGTTCTTGCTGCGCTTTTCCGACCCATGTTTCCTCCTTTTCCTCCACTTACCACTTACCGCCCCTGCACCACCATCCACTTCAAGACTCTGGAGACAAACTCCACAGCAAAGTTCGATGACAGCATGCATTTTCATCATTGTCCATCTGCGACCTGCATGTCTTTCACTAGGCTAGTACACACCAGGCAAGGTCTCCGATGTCAGTCTCTGAGGAAGAAGTACTGTTCTGGTGATTTCGGGCTTTGATTGGCACGTCTTTGCCTGCATCTGGCAAGGCAGAGGCGATCCAAAGCCAGGAACATCACCAACCTGCATAGTTCCGTCCCGCCAACCATGAGGAGCGGTATGCAAAGCAAACCGCAAGTGCCATGTGGCGTGTCATGCTGTTGGACCAGCTCCGGAGAGACGGTCCCCAGCCCTTGGGAAGCTGTGATGCTTGTCGATGCCCGATGACGGTGCAAGCATTCGCTCCTCCATATGTCTTCTCTTAACTACCGCAACCTGCGTTCTTGAGGTACGTTGTTGGCATCCTCTGAAAATCCGAGAGGTCGCTCTCACAGCGCCCTTTTGTTCATCACTCGTTTGATCTTCCTCTCTTTTGAACTCACAGCATTCGCTCGTCCGCTCCAGCTCGCATTGAACTGCAGCATGCGTACACCTGAAGGCCGGGGATATTAGACAAGTGCAAAGTGTCCAAGATGCATCTTTCACTCGGACTGCTGGTGACTTCGTCGCTGGCTGTAGCAGCGACATCTGCAGAGCCGAGCGCAACGATTATTGAAACACCGCGGCCAGGACCGCCGCCGCCAGTGCTGCAAAATACCACTCTCATAAATGAAACAATCATTGAAATATGTCCGCCTCCACCTACTGTCTTTTTCAACGTCACCGACTATGTACCCATCACCGAAACAGCAACAACAACGGTCACCGCCGTAACCACTGCAACATATATAGATACCACCACTACACCCATCACCATTTTCCAGACGATAATTTCAACCACAGTCGTGACGGCGGTCAGTGAAAAGAACGAAAGTGTGAAACGTCACAGATAGCTGACCACAGAGCAGACAGCAACAGTGACAACGACAGAGACTGAGACTGATACGGAGACCTCAACAACAACGACCACGACGCTCTCGATCAGTCCGACCACGGACACTGCGACAATAACCAATACAGCCACAGACACGACAACAGACACCCTTACGGAAACAACAAGCACGACCAACACTGCCACTAAAATCATCTCCGAGTACTTGACCACAGAACAGGTCACGAGCATCACTCTCTGCCCGACAAGAATAGCCAACCCAACGTATACGGCGAACGAGCCGTATCCAACCGACTGGACGTAAGTACAACAATTTTCTCAATCTCACACGTGTCCCGTACTTGTATCGTCAAGCCGGACCTGCGTCGAGGTAATATCTCAAATGTCATTTTCCAACTAACCAACTTTCACAGATGGGGTTGTCCGCCAGGCTGGCTTTGCCGACCACAGCGACAGAATTGTAACTTTGAAGCCGGAATTCCTTCTGATAATTTCTATTGTGCCCCCAATGAGTGTATACCTGCGGAGACTCTTCCTGCCTACCTCCCAACATGGGATGCCGACATCTATGGCAACTCTACACCAATCACCAACCCAGGCCTCAACGTTCAAGCAATCGACAACTTCTTCAACATGGAGCCTCTACAGTTCGGTCTTAGCTACCAGATCTTCGTCGTCGACGAAGTATTCACGCTTACATCAACGTTCCTCGAACAACCTACCCCCACGATCGCCGCCCGTCAGGCGCAAACCAGTGTCCCTGGAGCATGTTATCCGTGGTGTAACAACTGCCTTCTCGAAGCGCAATCAAGCGGCAAATCTCCTAAGCTGTGTTTGCCCGGCTCTGCGTTTGAGACGTCACTGAACCAATGTGAACAATGCATCAACGTTCATCGCGGAGACGATACAGGCTTTGTCCAGATTGCGCCGCAGTTCCAGCAGTTCTTGGACTATTGCGATCAATATGCCACGGTTGTCGTAACGACATCGGCGACCGTCACCACGAGTAATGCGGGCGGCACCACGGTCAGCATTGTCTCCTCGATACTATCGACTACAGTGACGCCGATAGCCTCGGCTTCGACGTCGACATCGAGCGGCGCACTAGGATCGAGTACAACCGTCGTAGCAACGACGGCAACGCCAACACCGCCTTCTGCTGCGTCTCCCTCTCCCCCACCGATCACAACAACGGAATCGACAACAGCAACAACAACCTACACTGAGACCACCGTCGCATCGACCGACTGGCCTCAAATCACCATCATCATGCCCGTTGGGGACAACAGCACCACGACCGTGTATGGATCTACTCTTCCCAGCGGCAGCGCCACGCTCGTTCTCCCCAAGGCCGTCATCTCGAGTCAAGTCACTTCGGACGCCACTGGTTCGGCTGCATCCGGCACCTCATCCGCACCGCCGTCTACTTTCACCGGCGCAGGAGTCGCCATGAAGTTTTCTTCAGGATGGAACGCGCGGATGACTATCCTGCTGGACCTAGTGGTACCCACGCTCCTTTTGCTAGTTTTCTAAAAGGACAAAAGCGTTGGAATGTGTCATGAGGTTGGTAGCCAAGCAGCCGGAAATGAGAAACGAAATGGCGTTTTGGTGTTGGTAATAGTTTAATGAAGTAGAGAGAGTCGAGATTTGGAAAGGGTAGTAGTATAATAAGAATATGACTAGGATAAATCTCTCTTCGTCTCGTAGACTGGTACTTGTAGTTCTTGTTGTACATCTTCCTTTGTCTTTCCAGATCTTTCTCTCAACATTACATTCCAGTGCTACTCCTCGGCAATTGCTCACAAAGAAAAACCACGACACTCAGTACCAATCTCGTTGATATTCACAATCACAACATCGCAGTTATTTGAAATGGCCCGGCTTGCGTTGAGCTGATACTGCCGGTGTATGTATCTCGCCTTCCATTACACACATAAGGCGTCAGTCTCTCTCTCTCTCTCTCTCTCTCTCTCTCTCTCTCTCTCTCTCTCACACACTCACACCATTTTAGACGGCTATACCTGTCGCCAGGTATGGAGGTAGCAAGGTAGCTCAGGTAGGTAGACAGGGTTAGGCAACGGTCACCATCCCGAGCTTCCATCAGGTAAGGCCATGTACCCAGCTAGGTAGGTCCCTGATGTACAGCATCTGGCCCACATCAAAAGAAGGAGGGTCTCCTTCAGGCACGTCAAAAAATACCGGGCACAAACCTCGCCGTCCTCTTGTGCCACTGCACCCACGTATCGCCAAACTTGTCCTTGAGCATCTTCTCCTCGTCGGCGACTCGGCCCATGACGGCCCTGGCCATCACGACCGCCAGGACAAGATACGCGGCCCAGCCGAAGCCGTTCAGCGCCGCCCTCGCCGCGGGGGGGATCCAGCACCCGAGCACGCCGTCCCAGCGCATGAACACGGCGAAGCACCCTGCGCGCACGATCGTGTTGCCCGTGTACCCCGGGTGCTGCATGTACGTGTACAGCCCGCGGGTGTTGAGCTCCGACGGCGTCTGCAGGTGGAAGGTGAAGTTGCGGCCGAGGGCGCCGTACGAGGCCAGCCGGAGCGGAGCGCCCAAGAGACACACGGCGCCCAGCGCGACGGCCACGTACGCGGACCAGCTGAACAGGAGGGGCCGGTTGAGGTTGCTCTCGGCCCACGGACACAGCGCGGTCGGGGCGGCCGGCTGGTCGTCGCGCAACACGAGGACCATGACGGCGTGGTAGAGCGAGAGCGCCGTGTAGAGAACCTTGCGGTTGCGGATCGTGCGGTCCGTCAGCACCTTGCGGAGCCGGTCGTCTACGTCTTGCTTCTCCGGGTTCGGGTTCGGCGGCGTGATGGACAGCGACGTGAGGTAGCCCGTCAGCACACACGCGACCGACAGAGAGACGGTCGAGGGAGTGAGGTTGAACTTGGGAATCAGGTCCATCGTGGTGTTAACACTTATACTTTGGACAAGAGAGACTTCAGAGTCGGTGTCGGAACTTGAAACTGTTTGGTGTATCCACCTGACAAAGTCTCCGAGGAGTCGAGGCCAGGGTCAGGTGTTGTCGTTTGAGATTCTCGGGAGGCGTGAGGACAAAGGCGAGTCAGTGGTCCCCCTTGAAAACGAGGTGTGTGAACGACAAATAGTACCTGTACCTATAGTACTCCTCTGGTGAGGTACTTAGCTAGAGAGGGGGAAGCGGGCCGAAGACGGCTACTGAGTGTCAAAGAAGGTCAATGTGCGCGTCCGTGTGTGACAAGACTTATGATACTGAGGTTTCAATTCTGAGCACTGTTCAAGAGAGGTAGTAATGCGTATTTACCAACCTACACTGGCACACTTCACTTTTCAAGCTCAAGCTCTCTATTTATGTACTTCTCTCAGGGTGGGTACGTTCTGTACCTGTGAACAACAAAGGGCGTGTGTATGTATGTATGCATGTATGTCGACCACGAGGAGGACCTGTTTCTTCGGCGTTCGACGTGCGCTCCTCACGAATACGAATACGGATACGTGCGGGATTTTCAGGTAATCACACAACCTGTTCAAAGTACGTACTCGTAGATGTCGTTGCCGAAAACTCCCGCCTGCAGCAGTATTATCTATGATCGCCTCCAGATGAGTCATCCTGATCAATGGTTGACGGGGCGTGTGCTTGTGCTTGTGCTTGTGAGTAGGGCTCCCACTTCTAATAGAACCAGCCATAGCAAATAGACCGCGTCGGCTGATGCTCAAAAGTCATGGGCTGCGATCTTTCACTTTCCGGCAAACGAAAACGGTTAATTTGCACGCTCGATGTCCTCTTCAAACGACCCTCCATCTGGGTTGTCTGTCTACCATTGTCTACATCTTGCCAAAAGCTTTTTGTTCTCATATATTACAGTGCTCGAAATATCGTCGGAGTCGCCGACGTCCCCAGCTTTCTGGCGCGCTGTTCTTCTTACGCCTGCTTTCCCCGTCAACATCGTGCCGGCAACCGACCCACCCTCAGCGAGCCGCCCAGGGTGTCTCGACCAGCTCAATGGTCGAGTCGTTCTCTTTCGGCAGCTCGACTACCGACGTCGTGGTGGTTTTCGTGATGATTTGTGGGGGCATGGAGCGTCGAGCACCGTAACTATTTGCATGGGACCCATGGTGAGCGCGCAGGTGCGAGGATTGGTCGACCGTGGAGCCAAAGATACCGGGTGCGACGCGGCGCAGGAGGAGCTTCAGGGCCGGCATGCACGCGCAGATCACGCCGACGTCGGCTTCGAGGACCGACATGTAGGAGGCGGCAACGAAGTCCCCTGTGTCATGACTCAGCATCGGTCGGACGACCAAAGGGGTTAGGGCAACTTGCAGCTAAAGTTCAGGCTGTTCTCCAGCTTGATGAGGCTTGCCATACGTATGATGCTGGCAATTGTCACGCTGAAGGGCGCCTGGTCAGCAACAGTTCAATAGGTCTAGCATCCGGAGAGCCAGCCCGGGGGAAACCCACAATAAGCCGACAGAGAACATGGAAACAATCTGGACCTTTTTCTTCCGTGACAATGACAGTCTAAGCAAAAAGGGTATCGGCAACAAGATGACGGCGATGTCCTGAAGAATGTTGATGGTACACGCGACCTTGGTCAACGAGAGGATGTTGATGCAATGACCCTTTGTCTCGCCGGTCCAACCCGTCCACATAAAAGATATGGGCGTACATTGGAAGATGTTGGCGGGCAAGACGGCCAGCAAAGTAGCTGAAACGACGCCCATGAGGATGTAGGTCGCTCGTTTGAACTTTTTCTCCGTAAAGATACGCAGGTAGAAAGCCAGGATGGAGAGCTTGGTCATGGCGACGCTGATGCAGTAAATGATTTCCGCAGTGTAGAACAACTGCGCCAATCAGATTCACTTCTCATGACATAGTTGTAATCTCTGCGCTCACTTTCAAGATTGTCTCGATTTCATGGGGCGGTATGGTGTAATTGTCTCTTGCAAAGCCATGATGTGTCACTGATCCAAATGGTCAGCCCTCATGCCAAGCTGAAGTACTAGTTCTCTTCACATACTCACGAAGTTGTCCAAGGATATGTAGAGTGCACAGGCCTGCAAACGTCAATAGGTACCATTCGACAGAACAGATATATATCCCTACGGTAGCAACCAGGATCAGGCCATCATCCCAACCAAAGGGAACCCTGAAGGGAGGGATGCGGGTCACCGTTCTCAGGCCAACACAGAGAAGCATCAAGGCGGCAAATAACCCGCTGATGACGTTCAACTTGGTGGAATCGTCGCGAACCGGGGCGCCGCAGAATGCCATGGTCGAGTTCTTCAATGCTGCACATTGGATCAGCAAGGCATTTCAAAAGGTCATTGAGGGACGAACAGAGAGTTTGAATAACGGTGCAATTGGCGCCACCGCACGCCACGACGCCTGACACCACGGAGTGCAAATCATTGCAGATACATTGTTTATCTGACAGCGTGCAGGGAATGCTGCTGATCATGTGGGAAACGCAGTCTACCTAGTTATGTTTGGTTAGTCCTGAAGTTCAGTTGGGGTTCTGTCGGGAGGTTGTCATACAGCGCACGATGGAAATTGATCAACCAAGGTTTGTGCCCTGGCAAACGCCAGCGAGGCTAGGACGAGAAATAGCATGAGCAGCTTCATGGTGAGCACAGTAGGGCTGCCATGACACTATCCTCGTGCCCAAGATATCCACTTCCACGAGTGTCAGGATGCAGCGATGCCCGGAAGCAGTACTGCTTTATGGCCAGTGTCGTCTGGGTCTAGGATGCCTGTGCATTCTTTCAGACCCTGCAAGCCCAAATTTGAAATAGGTGAGCACCTTGAGAATCATCGAGGTTGATGACCCGAAAGCAGGGGTTGGCGGGAGGTATCATTTGCACCTGCAATAGGCTGTGAAGTTAATTAAGGGACATCCTGCGCTTGATCGCCTCTCTCAACTGATGAGGTTGTCGACGGTGGGGACGGGCCTCTGCATTGACTAAAATGCCGGCTCCACAGCCTGTGGTACTCGTATGTTCCAAAGAGTTCGCCGGTCCATGCATGCTGCGCAATTACAGTTCGGTCAAAGTCAGGGGATGCAGGGCGTCCGGGGAAGCGGTTCAAATGGCATCTTCTTCAAGCCACAATGGGCCACAAGGGCGGAGGACATGACAAAAAAGATCCTTAAGATGCAGGAATGCCACCACGGGCTTTTTGTATCATCGAAGTCCGGGGGTGGACCGCGGCTCGCCGTGTCCTCCACGCTGGCTCCGCATGGGGGAAACGTCTCCGTGTTGACACCATGAGATCGAAGCAGACAGACTCCTTCCTGTAAGCCCGTATATAATGTTGTACGGACCAACCCATTGAACCCTTTGGGTTACGCTAGAACGCCACTAGGTTTGGGACCCAATATTTTGGTACCGAGATTTTTTGGTGCCGATGGCGCTTTTTGAGAGGACTTCGTGATGGTCAGAGAAGTGTGCTCTTCTTTCTGTAGCAGAGGGCGAGAAGATCCATTGAGATCCCTACTGCGCGTCTGTTCAGGCGTCGTACTTGGGGCATTGAAGGCATCCATTCTGCCGGCGAATGGACGATGTCATTGTGTCTGAAGAATGAGTGTTTTTGGCCCGGCTGAAGCGGCTTGAAAAACTCCCTCCCAAGCGGCGGTGCCGAATTTTCCCTGCAAATTTGCCTTGATCTGTATGTAGGTATCCGTATGTATGGGACTCTTGAGCTCGTCTACCCCCAGACGACCCTAGAATTGATGGGTGCTCGAGCTTGTTTCTTAGCCCCCTTATTCGTATTCGAGATAAGCGACGGTCTTTCACGGCCTGAACGTGATTGTCGCCAGTCCAACCGAGAAGGGGAATGACCGGTGACCACATGAGCTCTTTTGCAACCGCATCCAGTCCAGCCAGGCGCTCTTATTCCGTTTCGAGGATAGCTACAGTCTCTATGCCTGTCCTGAGACCAGGCCATCTCTTTCAAGCTCTGGGGATGTAGTAAACCTGCTATCCCACACTAAATCCACCGAGAACTTGAGGGTTCAATCGCACATCACTTCTTCCGTCCACATCACAGTCACGCCGGTCAGTGGCCACGTTGCAGATCTGTCTGCAGTGTGATGGCGGGTCATGCATAAGAGACGCACTTGCTTGACCAAAGATGGGAAACGGATCGAAGTAATGGTCACCTGAAGTAACAGCTGGAAATGGTCTATCTGGGGTGCTGACTGAAATTACTGGAGAGTAGCGTATACATCGCTTCACGAGCTGGAGTCGGGGTATTTGTGGCATGCTCTCTTATTCGTATGAGCACGATTCTCATCGTCTCTATCCTCTTCGTGCTCTCGAGAACTTCTGTCTCGTCCGCTCTGTCCGATCTTCATGGTCCCAAGTACCTCTGTGAGGTCATACTGGCATTCCTTCTGTGACGTCTCAATTTTCCATGGGTCCTGCGAGGTCTTCATACTCAGATTCATTCTGCGACGTCTCCATACTCCCATCCATTCTGTGTCTTCTCAGGCTCCCAATCCTTCTATGAGTTCTTCATTCACTCTCGCTTCTGTGCGATCTCCTCATAGATCTGTTGTCATTCTCAGTTCTGTTTTTTCGACTTGTCCCGCGTCTTCCTCTTCTCCTTATTCTCTTTCTTTTTCGCTTCCTTTTCCGCCTTCTTGGTGTCAATTTGGATTATCTTTCCCGAGTAGACCTTTCCAGCGTCGTCCTCTGCAATCCAGTAGAGCTCGGCAGGTGGGCATGATCTCTTAATCGACCAGCCATTGTCCCGACCGTGTTTTTTCATGTGAGCATGGAAATCTCCTGGTGTGCTTCTGTCGACATCGCAGTCTTTGACGTCGCAGACAAATCTCCACTGCATTCCGGTGGACAACTTATTCTTATTTGTCTGAATAGTTGTCGTCTTTGATAGACTTGCCTGCTGTCGGACCGCCTCTGGGATTGGCTCCTTGACTGGAGCATCCACGACGGTTTTTGGTTGTTTTTTGGCCGGAGCCCCTTCACGGCGTTGGCGCTTGGTTGGTCGCTCCGTGCCGGAATCATCGGTGTCAACATGGTAGCCGTCGCCGTCGCCGTTGGTTGTTGGGGGAAGGGTGTCCTTCTGCTGAGGAGCAGAAAGGACAGGAAGAAGAGCCGGCGGAGGGCGAACGGGAGGGGAGGAGGGCCGGCGGCGAGGAGAGAGAGCTGCCACCGGAGGAGCGGAGGGCGCTGCTGTTGCTGCTTCGGCAGCCGGAGAGAGAGAGGGAGGGAGGGCGGAAGAAGAGGGCGACCTCAAGACATCATCCAACGCCGGAGCGTCGACTACTTCGTCGAGGTCGAAGACCTCCCTCAACTGGCGCATTACAGCGCGCACCTCCCCGCCCTGGGAGGTGCGGCCATAGTCGTTGATGATCTGTCGGAGGCGAGCCTCCTGTGCCAGCAAAGCTGGCGCGAACTCGCTCAACGCCGCGAGGGCGCGAGTCTTCCACTCATCATCGAATTGAGAAGACATTTTGGGACAAGTGGATGGAGGAACATGTGTCGGGTAAACTTCGGCCGGGGATATCCGAGACTAAGAGGTTTGAAGCGTGAATAGCCGAGTGGCGGTGTGGGGTCCATCCGAGTGCCAAGACAACGAGTGACAGTGAATGAACCGTGAAATGCAAGTAAACTGACAGTGAGGCGGCTCTCAATCTCATTGTTTTGTGTCCTGCTAAATGGGGGGCAAGCGAATTCCGCCCCTAACGAGCTTCAGACAATAGGACGGTCTCTTGAAAGACCCTATAACAAAGTCCATCCAGCGAGGGCGATGACTCTGGCGTGCGAATCGGTGCTGAAGTCACACCTCCCTTGAGTTTACCTACCGGCCTGTATTCTGTTGCTCCATCGGCCTCTTTCCATAGTGTGAATACTGACGGGGAGGACGCGATGACCAAGGACAAGAATGTCAACCTTCAGGAGACTGTTCGTATTCATGAGCTCCTGAGTACCAGGGTGTGCGCGTCACCTCCAATAACTACCATGACATTGTGTATCCGTGGCCACTATAGCATACACGCCTCATGTTCATATTTCCAAGCCATCTCTTACTTCTGACGCCCTTCAAATGGATTGTTGATACATTATGTAGGCAGGACGTGCCAGGCGGAGATTTTGATAAGCGATCCCGGGTCGTAGAGGCATCTATACTCCACCGTAGACCTACTGATACTGTACGTTGCAGCATTGATTCTCTGGATCGAAGTTTTTACAACACCAGCATCACCTCATACCAGACTTATTCTACTATCGTAGTTGGCACCTCGTACACCCAGAAAAGAGCTCCCGCGATGATATATCAGGCTTTGCGGTGTCGCATACCACTTCTCAGCGGCCTGATGGCTCGCAGCTACCTCAAAGCCTCCAGTTCACACATCTCCCGAAGCTCCTTCAGCACGCTTCTCCAAACCTCGATACGTCGTCCTCAGGCGCAGCAGTCCTCAGTCCAACAGTCCGCCCTGTCAATAACGAGCCAAGTACGAGGCATGAAGACCCGCTCGTCCGTCAAGAGATTATGTGAATCATGCAAGGTGCGTTTTACCCTACAACGCCACGGTTCCGTTGAACAACACACAGAGAGAGAGAGAGCACTTGGGAAAATCATTACTGACAATGCTACTCGCTCGTAACAGGCCGTACGACGGAAGAACCGAGTCTTCATCATTTGCGATAAAAACCCCAAACACAAGCAGAGGCAAGGGAAATAGCGGCGATCACAAGAACAAAGTCACGAATTGTACTACTATCAGAATACCGGCCCCGAGGGAGGCATTTTTGCGGACGGACCTTTACAGGCTTCCTGTACAAAATGTATAGTCGTCCAATGCTCATCATAAAATGCTCCGTCTAGACGCGGAGTCATATGTTGGACGAGCTGCCTCGCGAATTCCTGCCAGATTGCCTGTCCGCGATTCGGCCGCGAGCCTGTTACTTGCAGATCGGAGGGAACACGATTGGGCGAGAAATAAAAGGAAAAGAAGAAAAGGGCATCTCAGCTCTCACAAAGCAAGGATCCAGCCGATTATTATTTTTGGCTGGCACTATAAAGCAAAAAGGGTACCACGTTGGTGTTTTGCAGACCAGAACTACTCTGTTGCCGGGCTCAGATATTCGCATCGCAAGTCATTTTGATCATAGGACGGGCTAAGCTATGCAGGACTATGATCGCGCGTGCGCATTTCTTCCCATCTGAAGCGTCTTTCGCACCATTCTGGCTTGCCCAAATCCATGTATTTTGTTACATGCCTTAAAATGCGCAGTGGTGCTAGTGTCGTGTATCCAGTCTCACAATAGGACAATTCCAATGCCACCTCTCTTCGATTCATCGGCCTGGTTTCTCTCGTTGATACCGCCGTTGATCGGCTTCGTCCTCCAATTATAAAGGTAGTGATGGAGCTGACCATCGCCTGCGCCGAACTTCAAGTCGGTCAGGAACAGTGGATTATCGTGCAATGTTAGAGCATTGAATACGTCAAACTTGGCCTGTGAAATATTTAGCATATGGGGTCTTTAATACTTTGGAAGAGCATCTGACCTTCTTTGCCTCAATCAACAGATCCTGCACGATCTCCTGCAGTCTGGACTTGAGCCCTTTCTCCTTGGGATTGAAAGCTTGGTCCGTCGCGTAGTAATACAGATATGCGGCACGAATCCTGTCATGCTTCTGGCTCATTGCACCAATGACGCTGCTTTCAAGACTGTAGAAGCTCGCGAAATCCGTGATTTTGCCGTCCTTCTCGACCACGAAGGACCATACGACCTGATCGTCCGGCTTGTGTTTGTTGTAAAACCAGTGCTCGATCTCTGCTTTGTTGAACTCCTGTACCAGGTCGAACCGCTTGAGGTACCGTGTCAGCAGGTCCCAGACAGGGTCGATATCTTTCTCCTGCATGACACGCCAACCAGGCGTGCTCGTACTGGTAGGTAGTTGGTTTCGAGCGATCATCCGGGCAGCTGTGCTGTTAGGTGGAAGCGGCGAGAAGCCAACTTCATAAAGTTTCAGCCAGTCCAAACTCCGGTGAAAGTAGCGACAGCTTCCGACAGGGGTAGGCAGAATGACACCCCCGGTGTAGATGGCTTGGTAGACGCCTTCGAGGTGACATCTTCGGGTTACTTCTTTGATCAGGACTGGGGCTAACCGCCGTGATCGCAGCTTCTTGTGGACACACATGTAGTTGATCTCTACAACGTCAAGTATGCTCTCTCGTATTCGGAGCTTGATCGGGATACCGAAGATGGTTGCGACAAGGAGGCGACTCGGACCCTTAGCCCTGACGCCGATATGCCAGCTCTTTTTCCAGTCCGGCGACTTCAAGGCCCAGTCGAGAAAGACGGCAGAATAGTTGAACCGGAACATGGCGTGGTCATCCTCGACATAATGCAAAGTTAGGAGGTTGTACACCTCCTTAACCTCGGCGTCATTGGTCATGTCAAGCTCAACCCATTCATACCCCTCTGGTAATGGTGCTGCAGTCTTAGGAACTAGCTCGGGAATAACCTCTTTGATAGGACCGTCTGGTCTCTCAGAGTCGGGTCTTTCGTCGAAGCGAGGAACTGGCTGAGTCTGCCAGAACTTGTAAGATGCCATATCCTTCTGGTTCTTCCCGTTGAGAGACATTCCGCTCAGCAGCTGCTGCATGTCCATATTTCTCAGCACCTCGGCGGCCTTTTCAGTTGGCAACCCCGCCAGTTCTCCCTTCAGCGTAGGGTTCATGTCAAGCAATTGTTTGATGTGGTCGTTGGACAGCTTTGCGGTAGGCTGCGAGGAAGAGGCTTCTGCAGGTTCGGAGGACTTGTTACCAGTAATGGCAGAGACTATCTTGGATCTTTTGGACCGTTTCTTTTTCTTCTTCGGTTTCGAGGCGGTCGGCTCAGCTGCGCCTTGTGGTTGTTCTTCCGTCTCCGACTCCGACTCCAGTTGCTCTTCCCGCTGCTCGGGCGAGGCGTTCGGAGGTGATGAATCTGCCATGGCCAAAAAGTAACAAGACGAGACCACTGCAGGATAATCAAGCAAGTAAAAGGCTATCTCGAAGCAGGGATGGCTGCCATAAACACCCCCTGTTGCTGAATGCAAAACGAGTTTCTCCGCAGACGTCAGTCAGGTCGTCGATATTTATTAGACTCGTACTCGCATTCGCACTCGCACTCGTATCCGTAACGCGGCCAGCCTGATGAGCACGTCGCCTTGGCGGAAAATCTCCCTAGAGCCTCACGGCGTCCTTAACCTTTTCGTCAACATCCCATGAGTGAGTGCCAGGCTCTCTTTCTGAGATCCATGCGTTACTGGTTTTAGCCTCTGTCTAATTTTAACTGCATTCCAGACTTTGCATCATACCTTTCGCTCCTCCGTAACCCCTTGGCGATGACGAAGGACGAAGGCCGTCGACATTCAGTGGCTGCCCAACGGATCAGAGCTGTGAGCAAGCAGTCATCCCGTTATCGTATGTGGTGTGACTTTCCGCCGGTAAAACGGAATGTCATGTGGGCATCACCTCCTTGACTTGTTGTGGCGGATCTCGTATTTTTATTTTGCTAGAATGCAAGATAGCCCTTCAGCCCCTGGCAAGGACAAACAGGCTATCAATGGTTGTAAGTTACCTGGTTCTCCCTGTTGACGTGGCGGCAGTATAATTACGGATGTTCCATTTGCTCCTCTTGCTCTTCCCCTTCCTCTTCCTCCTCCCAGCGTCCGTCGTTGTCATTGATAGCCGCTACCCCTGGAGATGGAGCAAAGCACCAAACGGCGTAGCCTTTTGGGATGTTGACCCTGACCCTGTCTGTTGCCAAAGAGCGAGCCGAGGTTTCCTCCGAGTTCGAAATATACATGACTGCTAAACAATGGATGCACTGGTACCATAAGCTTTGTCAGGCTGTGGGCGGCATTGCCGCCCTCGGTGCCGGTTTCACGTTCACAGTCATTGTTGCGCAGTTAGCAGAACCTTGCCCAGACCTTCCAAATGACAGCAAGTCACCACACGTACGTTTTTGCTTAGTCTTGAGCTGGATGCTCTGGTGACAAGCGGTAATCGACGGCGAAAACGATACAGTCGAACGAGTGGACAATCCGCTGCTCCTGCACCAACCGTAGGTCAAACCATGGCCGAGTCGCTAGACGCGGAAGCAGACGGAGATTCCGAGGCGGAGACGCTTATTCAGTGTGACTTGTATCTTGTCCGAATGGTTGATCGCATGATCATTGTTCAATTCTTGGATCAGTCCTCCAATACAAAGGAATAGGGCTGGGGAACAAAGCCCGGTCAGCCCTGTGTCAATAAGGAGGACGACACCATTGTGGTGTACGCCTTCAAACTTAACTGATTTGGGAAGATCCATCGTTATTCAAAAGTTGCCATCAACGACGCTGCTTCCGTAAGTTCTGATCTCGATGTTCTTCGTTCTCTCGCCGACCTGTGCCAGTTTTGCTGCATTGGTTTTCAACGCGAATCGACGATGGTTTACTGACGATTTGAAGATCTGTGTCATGGACCAGGTGTATCGTAATGAGCCATGGTAGAATTGGGTAACTGATTGCCAGGAGAAGGGCAGCCGCTTGTACTGGCCCGAAGATCCCGAAAATGGTCGAGCTATGTCTCCGGAGGATGCAGGTGGAGGAGCATGCCAGCTTAACGGCTGCCGTGATCGATATGGTGAACTGAGATACAGCTGGATCAGGAGCTAACAAGGTTTCATCTCGCCGAGGATGGTTCTGACCCTGGAGCTTCTCCCGCTTTCTGCCTTGCATCGGCCGAAGCTGTCCGAGCATACGAGAACGCATTGGGCAGGGCAATCATCGGACCGATCATTCTCAGTACGATCATGGTATTTGTGTTCTGGCTTGCACAGAACTGGTATGGTTTACCAAGTCGTCCTCGACTACTGTACTGGGTTGGAAGAGTTGCTGACTCTTTCCCCTCTCCTTTAATCAACTGGCCCGCGACGTGATTTACTTGCACCTCAGCCAGAAAAGGAAACAGTGCGACGTGGACCGCGCGGACTACAAGATGGTCAGAGAACACCTCGGCGGTTTGATGGGATTGAAAGAGGAAAAACCGCCTGTCGCAACGACAGGTTTTGGTAACCAGAATCTTTAGGACGGCAAATTTATCTCCGGATATCTTGGCCATTTCCAGGAGAGTATGCATTCCTCGACTCAACCACCTGGTCAACCTAATTATATCCTTGATCGAATCGTTGCTTTTCTAAAGCCTAGGCGGGTCTATTTGTCCTGGTTGGACCTGTCTATGTCCTTGGATACAATTTCGTGCAACATCGATAGTGGTCCTGAAGCCACTTCACCCTCGTTCTGTCAGATCATATTTTGACAGACAATTGCGCCCTCCGAATCGAGGGACTGAAATGAAGCCGTGTGGATGATCATGAGAGAACCAGTTGCATCAGGGCTTCCCTATACCCCAGCGTATCCACCAAGCCGGTCTCGCCAGCCTTGCAAATGACAGAACACTATAAGAGAACATTCCAAAGATTCCATGCTACTCTCAAGAATGCACAACAAAGTCCCACTGCTCCCCCAATTTGTGCTACTGATGACATTGTCCCGCCGAGCTTTGTACTGGCCAAAGCGCCGAGATCCCACCGATCAGGCACTTGTTCCTTGCTCGCCTGTTTCACTGGCGATCCACCGCATAGCCATGTGGATTTAACCTGAACCATCACTTAAGGGGGTTTCTGGTGATTGTTGAGGGACATTCCACTGATTTGGATCATGGCACTTGATGTTTCTTGTTGGGCCTGAGTGTCTAAGCGTAAAACAAATACAATAAATATACGGAGGCGTGCACCAAATGTGGTGTAAATGCACTAGGACTAAATTAGCACTAGCACTGTAATTGGAAAGACATTTTCAAAAGACAAGTCTGAGTTTCAGGCATTCCAGTTAAACTGTGCCTATATAAGCCCCAGGGGCTAGTGATACTTACCTGGACTTTGCCTAAGACTGGCGCGGTTATAGGTGCTACTAGGCACCTTCTTACCTATAAGACCGAGAAGCCTCTCGTCTTTTAAAAGGCGTTTCAAATTACAGTGCCTGTACTGCTTTAGTCCTAGCGTTTTTACACCACATTTGGTGCACGCCTCCGTACTCAGGTTCAAGTTCTCCAGCCTGTCAAGAGTTCTCCACATATCCTTAAAGTCTTCCAAACTCTAACATTACCTAGGTACTTGAAGGGAGGCTTATCATGCCACCGACGTTCAATTCCTCACTCCCTGTATAATGCAATACTCACCTACCAGTCGCCGCATGATTGAAATCCTCAAACGTTTGAATAAACAGGGAGTCCGCTTTGCCAATCAGGCTGTGCAGTCCAGGATTCAGCCATGCGCTTGCCTATCTTTCACCATGCCAGTAAGAGTATGGTCGCGGACCGACGAGTCAAGGTGTCTTCAGCCCCGATGCGGATTTCTATTCATCTTCCGACTTTGTTCTTGTCAACGAGAGTTACGCGTGGTTGAGAACAGCCCAAGATCATCATCGACCTTCTTCTAATATCCTCGGATCGGCACATTTTGTTCCTATGCACCGTCACCATCGTTAGTTGCATCTGACTTCGCGTCCAACCCCCTATCCCTAGAATCCTTATCTGCGGTCCCAATCAATTGTCCGAGCCCACTGTCCAGTCATCGTCCTATATATATATGTACATATGTCCAATCCTCAGGACTACACTGTTGGTTGGATATGCGCTATAAGTACGGAGCGCGTTGCTGCCCGTGCTTTTCTCGACGAGGAACACGCTCCTCCTGAGTATGTCCAGACCAACGATAACAATGACTATACCCTTGGAAGAGTTGGAAAACACAATGTTGTCATCGCCGTTGCCCCAGACGGCGAATATGGTACACAGTCTGCTGCAGCTGTCGCTAGAGATATGATGCACACCTTTCCAAACGTTCGCATTGGTCTTATGGTTGGTATTGCTGGGGGCGTGCCTTCCCACAAGCAAGATATACGTCTCGGGGATATCGTAGTCAGCTCCCCTCGGGAAGGGAAAGGCGGAGTCTATCAACACGACTTCGGTAAGCGGAGACAAGAGCAGGACTTCCAAACTACAGGGTACCTAAATCAGCCACCTCCAGTTCTTCGAGCAGCAGTTGCTGGGCTTAGGTCCCAGTATGAAGAAGACGGCCATCAGTTGGAGCATGCCATCGACAGAGTGCTTGAGAAAAAGCCGAGGTTGAGAAAGAAGTACCAACGTCCGGACCCCAAAAATGACCGGCTTTATTTGTCAAAAATCGTTCATCCGGCGAATGACGAACGAGATTGTTCTGAAGTCTGCGGGCAGGATCCCTCGCAGTTCGTCGACCGCGGAATCAGAACTCCGGAGGACGACAATCCAACAATACATTATGGCTTGATTGCTTCGGGCAACACAGTACTGAAGGACGCCCTACTTCGTGATGCTGCTGCAAAGGATGGTGTTTTGTGTTTTGAAATGGAGGCGGCAGGTCTCATGAACCAATTCCCTTGTCTCGTCATCCGTGGGATATGCGATTACTCGGACTCCCATAAGAACAAGCAATGGCAGGGCTATGCAGCAATGGCAGCAGCCGCGTACGCGAGAGATCTACTCCTTCGGATCCTGCCTAATAGGGTCGAGGCTGAAAAGCCATTTAGACAAACAGTCTCTGGTTAGTAGTGTGCTCGACCTTGTCAAATTTCATCCAATACATCTCGTTTTTAACTCATCGCATATCTGTGGCAGAGATGCAAGACAGCATAAAAAATGTGCAAGACAACATTGAAAATCTCGCCAGGGGCCAGCAACAACAAATAGAAAGGAAAGATCGGAGAAAGCTGTCTGAATGGCTTTCGCCCCTTATCCCTTATGCACGACACTACGAGAACCAAAAGCAGCGGGTCAACGGCACAGGCAAATGGCTGCTCGAGGATTCATTGTTTCTGGAATGGTCTACAGCAACATCTCCGTCGGTTCTATTTTGTTACGGAGACCCTGGTGCCGGGAAGACCATTCTTTCGTAAGTCTCACAATTCGGCGTGTCTCGTAAGCTGACCTTACAAACCAGCTCTCTTGTGATTGATCACTTACATTCTACGACCGCGGAGTCAACAATTGGAGTAGGCTACATATATTCTGACTACAGAGACGCGAAATCACAGACAGCAGAGAATATTCTTGGAGCAGTGTTGCAGCAAATTTTAGGATCTCTACCTGAAATCCCACCTGAAGTCTGGTCACTGTTCAGAGAACGACTTGCCAAACACCTTGCCTTTCACTTGTCCGATGCAAAGGATCTCTTCCAAATTGCCAGTGTAAAGTTTGGGAAAATCTACATTTGTATTGACGCTCTAGACGAACTCAATGATCAGCGAAGGGTGCTGGAGTTCTTGCGAGACAGACCCTCCAACCTACAGTTGTTCTTGACGGGTCGACCTCATGTCAGAGAGATTGTTAGAGAACATCTGAACGTCTTACAGGAGGTAATAGTCAAAGCTAGAGATTACGATATCCAGCAGTTTATTGATCGCGAAATCGGTGGACCAAATGATATTGAACCAAGTGCCATGGATGACAAGCTCCGAACAAGCATTAAGGAGAAACTTGTTCAATCAGCCGAGGGATCGTCAGTATGAATCTACATGAATCTTCAAGCAGATGCTAACTTCTTTATTTCCTCTAGGTTCCTTTTGCCGGTTTTGCAAATTCGTACCATCCTTCAGTGTTTAACTAGACGCGACCGAGAATTGTCCTTAAAGACTCTGCCTTCTACTTTGAGTGAAGCGTTTGCCGGGTCCTTTGCGAGGATTCAACAACAGCCCGAGGCTTTAGCATATCGTGCCGCACAGATTGTTGCATGGGTTCACTTGACTGTGCGGCCGCTGACTGAGAGTGAGCTATTATGCGCATTGACCGTGAAGAATGAGGACACGAGATTTGAGGTGAGGGGAATTCCAGTCAGAAGGACATTGTTGAATTGCTGTCAGGGTTTGGTTGTGATGGATCGTCAGACGTCCACTGTTCGCTTGGTACACTTCTCCCTGGAAGAATATCTCAATCGTCAAAATCAGATATTTGAGGTGTCGATCCGAGAGTTGCATGGACGAATTGCGGCCACATGCCTCACATATCTCAACTTCCCAACTTCAGCAGAAGACCCAGATGAGGACCCCAATGAAGACCCGGACGAAGACCCAAATGCACACCCAGAGGAAGATGCATGTGTGAATGTTGATATCAGAATGGCTCTTCTCTCTTACTCGGCAAGGCATTGGGGCATCCACCTTCATCACTATGAAGGTGAAGAAGGAGTCGATCACGTCGAGCCGTCTGTACTCAATCTGGCTTATAAGTACCTCCAGCTAGGCTGGAAGAGAAACCCTGACAGCTGGAAAAGCCTACTCGAGTACATGTATTGGAGGGACGTGCCGAAGACTGAGAGACGTGACCTTCAAGCTCATGTTTCAGCATATTTTGGTCTCCGATCTGTTATTTCTCTTTTCGCCCTAAGAGGACTAAGTCTAGATAGGAAAGATCGAATGGAACGAACGCCGCTTTCATGGGCTTCTGAAAGAGGCCACCTGGGGACGGTACAACTCCTCCTTGCAAAGGGTGTGGAAGTGGACTTAGGAGACTTTTTCGCGCGTACACCACTATCGTGGGCCTCTAAAGAAGGTCATCTAACAACAGTACAGCTTCTGCTCGATAATGGTGCTGCATGGAACTCGGAAGACGATCTGGGGTATACACCACTAATGCGGGCCTCTGAACAGGGTCACCTGGCGATAGTACAGCTTCTTCTTCACCGTGGTGGTGCTACAGTGAACTCGGAAGATGAGGAGCTGTCTGCATCACTATTTTGCGCCTCTGGAAACGGTCACCTGGCGATAGTACAGCTTCTTCTTCGCCGTGGTGTTACAGTGAACTGGGAAGACCCGGAGGGACGTACACCACTCTCGTGGGCCTCTGAAAATGGTCACCTGGCGATAGTACAGCTTCTTCTTGATCATGATGCTGCATTGAACTCGAAAGAAGAGGAGAAGTGTGCATCACTATTGTGGGCCTCTGAATGGGGTCACCTGGCGATAGTACAGCTTCTTCTTGACCGTGGTGCTCCAGTGAACTCGGAAGACGAGGAGGGGCGTACACCACTATCGTGGGCCTCTGAAAATGGTCACCTGGCGATAGTACAGCTTCTTCTTGA